GGACGTCGGATCGAGAAGTCAGGATGGAGAGAGGACTCGGAGCGCGCCGAGAGACGTAGCCGAGGACAGCGATACATCATATATGGTATTCGAGGTACCTCGAGTAATTATTATTACGCAGGATTTTTCTAATTTTAACGGACCTTACTCGAAGTAAGGACATACCCGAGTCGAAATTAGATCAGCATTCATAGTTTATCATCTGAAAAATAGCTTGAGATTTGATTATTCGTTAAACTAATTTCACGTAACATGAGTTCTACTTTTCTTTTCTCGTAAAATATGAATGTCTATTCAAGCAAGGTTGCTGAGGCAAGCTAAGGTTTATGAATACAAATTTGTAATTATGTTCTCAATGAAAAATTGCACATAATTTAAAAAAAACTATGAATAATGATCTTAGAATCTGATATAAATTTTACAAGTGTTGATTTTTATTCGTCTAATAATGCTCAGATTGCTGTTTTCGTTTAGAATCTGCTAGAATGTCCGTTTCTCATTCTTGTTTATCTTTCTTATTGTACCGAATCAGAATTAAAATCTCTATTAGTGAAACAGCATTATTAGACATAACCGTTGTCTTTTTGCAGCTTCAGCTCTTTTAAGAGCTACAATTCTCATCATTCTCATTAGAAAAAAGAAAAGAAAAAAAAAGAGAAGAAAAAAGGAAAAAAGAACTTTAAGAATGATGAGAATAAAAAGTGTTTTTCATCCCCCATTTCCTCTAATTCTTATATGATTATTTAATCCTTATATATTTATCTCACGCGCAGTTCAAAGGCAGTTCTATTTACGTTTTTATCTTTGTTCTCTTTCTTGCGCTGTTAAGTGAATATATAATCAAAATCAACAAAAATTGCTCATTTAAATTAAGAATATAAGGATTAAGTACATATACATTATCGAAATAAACGAGTATTAAATAACTGCGGAATACGTCGCTGTTGAAGACTCATCATGGGCGAGACTGCGAGAGTAGCCAGATGTAACGTTCAGGTAGGACAAAGCTTGTTCACTATTGCGCACCTAGATATTCTACATTGATTTTTCAAATTGGATGCAATTTGCAGGATCAATGTAGAATTAATATTTCGACTCGGGAAAGACTCGGGAATGAGAACGAATTGTCATTGCACTTGGACAATCTTCTGACACTGATTTCTGGTATTGATCGATATTCAATTTTCGGTACCGATTTACTCTTTCATTCCTCTACAAGAAAAAAAAATTGATACGACTCGTTCACTTATCCGCGTTAATTTGATGAATAAATTAAATATTGATCGGTCTTCAATTTTCGGTACTGATTTATTCTCACTTTTCTTTTATAAGACAAGAAAAATTGATATGAATCATTCGTTTATTCGAGTTAATTTGTTGAATAAGATTAGAGGGGTAAGTACCTGAAAAATGAGAACAAATTGTCATTGCACTTGGACAATTTTTTGACACTGATTTATGGTATTAATCGATATTCAATTTTCGGTACTGATTTACTCTTTCATTTCTCTATAAGAAAAAAAATTCATATGAATCGTTCATTTATCCGCGTTAATTTGATGAATAAATTAAATATTGATCGGTCTTCAATTTTCGATACTGACTGATTCTCAATTCAATCAATACAATTATCTAACGCTGATTTATAGTATTAATCAATATCCGGTTTTCGATATTGATTTAGTCTTTGATTTCTCTATAAAAGAAAAAAAGATTGATATAAATTGTTCATTTATCCGCGTTAATTTGATGAAAAAATTAGATATTGAACGGTCTTCGATTTTTGGTACTGATTTATTTTCTCATTGTTGTACAAGACAAAAAAATTGATACGAATCGTTCGTTTATCCGAATTAATTTGTTGAATGAGATAAAGGGGTAAGTGAAAAGGGGTACCTGAAAAATGAGAACAAATTGTCATTGCACTTGGACAATTTTTTAACACTGATTTATGGTATTAATCGACATTCGATTTTTGGTACTGATTTACTCTTTCATTTCTCAATAAGAAAAAAAAATTCATACGAAATGTTCATTTATCCGCGTTAATTTGATGAATAAATTAAATATTGATCGGTCTCCAATTTTCGGTACTGACTGATTCTTTAATTTCTTTATAACAGAATAAAAATTGAATACAAATCGTTTTTTTATCCGACTTAATTTGTTGAGTAAATTAGTGGGGTAAGTACCTGCAAGATGAAAACAACTTGTCATTGCACTTAGACAATTTTCTAACGCTGATTTATAGTATTAATCAATATCCGGTTTTCGATACTGATTTAGTCTTTGATTTCTCTATAAAAGAAAAAAAGATTGATACAAATTGTTCATTTATCCGCGTTACTTTGATGAAAAAATTAGATATTGAACGATCTTCGATTTTCGGTACTGATTTATTTTCTCATTGTTTTACAAGACAAAAAAATTTATTCGAATCGTTCGTTTATCCGAGTTAATTTGTTGAATGAGGTTAGAGGGGTAAGTACCTGAAAAATGAGAACAAATTGTCATTGCACTTGGACAATTTTCTGACACTGATTTATGGTATTAATCGGTATTCGATTTTCGATACTGATTTACTCTTTCATTGCTCTATAAGAAAAAAAAATTCATATGAAACGTTCATTTATCCGCGTTAATTTGATGAATAAATTAAATATTGATCGGTCTTCAATTTTCGGTACTGACTGATTCTTTAATTTCTTTATAACAGAATAAAAATTGAATACGAATCGTTCTTTTATCCGACTTAATTTGTTGAGTAAATTAGTGGGATAAGTACCTGCAAGATGAAAACAACTTGTCATTGCACTTAGACAATTTTCTAACGCTGATTTATAGTATTAATCAATATCCGGTTTTCGATACTGATTTAGTCTTTGATTTCTCTATAAAAGAAAAAAAGATTGATACAAATTGTTCATTTATCCGCGTTAATTTGATGAAAAAATTAGATATTGAACGGTCTTCGATTTTCGGTATTGATTTATTTTCTCATTGTTTTACAAGACAAAAAAATTGATACGAATCGTTCGTTTATCCGAATTAATTTGTTGAATGAGATAAAGGGGTAAGTGAAAAGGGGTACCTGAAAAATGAGAACAAATTGTCATTGCACTTGGACAATTTTTTAACACTGATTTATGGTATTAATCGACATTCGATTTTTGGTACTGATTTACTCTTTCATTTCTCAATAAGAAAAAAAAATTCATACGAAATGTTCATTTATCCGCGTTAATTTGATGAATAAATTAAATATTGATCGGTCTTCAATTTTCGGTACTGACTGATTCTTTAATTTCTTTATAACAGAATAAAAATTGAATACGAATCGTTCTTTTATCCGACTCAATTTGTTGAGTAAATTAGTGGGGTAAGTACCTGCAAGATGAAAACGATTTGTCATTGCACTTAGACAATTTTCTAACGCTGATTTATAGTATTAATCAATATCCGGTTTTCGATACTGATTTAGTCTTTGATTTCTCTATAAAAGAAAAAAAGATTGATACAAATTGTTCATTTATCCGCGTTAATTTGATGAAAAAATTAGATATTGAACGGTCTTTGATTTTCGGTATTGATTTATTTTCTCATTGTTTTACAAGACAAAAAAATTTATTCGAATCGTTCGTTTATCCGAGTTAATTTGTTGAATGAGATTAGAGGGGTAAGTACCTGAAAAATGAGAACAAATTGTCATTGCACTTGGACAATTTTCTGACACTGATTTATGGTATTAATCGGTATTCGATTTTCGATACTGATTTACTCTTTCATTGCTCTATATGAAAAGGAAAAATTGATACGAATCGTTCATTTATCGGCGTTAATTTTTTTTTTATTATATATAAGTGGTCCATGGGACGATTAAATATTCGAATACATGTTGCCGTATCAAAGTCTCCTCTATAATAAACGATTTGACACGTCTGGGGACGTATGATGTATCGTTGCCCGCATCCCATTCCCTTCGTCCTACTTTTCTGTATAAAATGTCGAATTGAAACGTATTAAAAAATATTGACATTTTGAATGTCTGATTTCTGAATCTTTTTGATCCGAAGAAAAGGATTGAAAAGTATTAGTTTCCATTAAATTTTACTGCGCTAAATGCGAGACGGTCTCTTTCACCCAAGTGCCTCACCAGGGAAATTTCTCTGGTACGCTAAATCCCGTAAGGTCATCAGTCTTTGTAGTATATCTCGTCGGTGCACAAGGTTTATATTACCTGTACATACATATTTTGAAACATTTTTTTTGGATATTATATCAAACGGATTTTGCGTGTCACGTAATATCCTTCGGACTACACGGACATTATTATTTTGATCAATTTGATTTCTTTGGTATTCATTGAATTATCCAGAACGCACAACTGCCATGTTGAACGACTCAATTGTCGTGTGAAATGTTTCGATTTTCACAAATTCATATAAAATTTTTCATTTTTCACTGATTCACAGAAGTCTTTCACTTTTTATTAGTTCACGCTAGGGAAAAGATTCATGATCGCTGCCCTGAGCAACTGCAACGCTTTTCGAATCATCTATGTCGGCGCGCTTTTACTCCTCAGATTTCTGTCATTAATAACTCGATAATTATTGCGAATCTCGCAAAATGGTATAGGACTTTTATGTTTGTCTCAACCCAATCTACCCTCACACTTCGGATTGGCAGCTAATTACCGGACACTTCGTATGATCTTCATGATATTAATCATACACAATGTCAATTCTTTTTTTTTGCACATGTTAACATGTTAATTCATGTTATAAACGCGTAACAATGTGCGAGACCGTGCTTGTCAAATATGCTATTATGGTTGTAGCACGGACATAAACCGCCTAAAAATGGATGTAGCACGGACTGCCACCACATACAGGTTTTACCGCCGAAACCTGAATGTGGATGTAGCCTCGTAGTTCCCCTCTCAAAATGGATGCAGATGGCGGCCTTTCCCAGTGCGAAAAATCGGTGTCGTCGAAAACACCGTGTTGGCCGCTCTCACGTTCCTCTCTGCTTCTACCTAAAGCCATATACCGAACTGAACTGAACTGTACTAAATACTAGTATTTCTATAGCGTCTTTACAAGGCGTTAGCACGTGGACGTATGAACTTGTTGTTTTGATAGTGTTGACAAAATGGGTAAAGCGAAAAAAGTTAAAGTATCGAAAGGCGGCACCAAAATAAGTCTGGCGGATGAAATAGAACTCGAGAAAACAATAAAATCCAAAAGCAGACAAAAAATCAGACATCGGACCGAAGAAGACGAAGAGGTTAATTTTTATATCTTTTACCTTTATACTTCAGAAACTGGAAAGAATTAATTTTATTAGTTTTAAGAATTACTTGATAAAAATTAATAATAATTTAAATGGCAATGCGTTGTATCAAGGGATACATTTTTGTAATCATTTTTCATTCAGTATGTAGCTCCTACCTTGACAAAAAAGATCCTGTCACAAGCTAGGAAACAGCAGCGAGAGATTGAAGAGGAAATTGACTTGAGCGATCCTAAGGCTGTGAAAAAGTCAACGGTAAAACTGAGCAATGATTTTAGCGATGCGGGAGAATCTAGTGATGAAGAGAAGGTGGAGGATATTCACTACTATGAGAATATTGAGATAAATGAAGAGGATGAACGTGCACTAGAGATGTTCATGTCCAAAGATCCTGTACCCATGAGAACATTGGCAGACATAATAATGGAGAAATTAACAGAAAAGAAAACTGAGATTGAGACTCAGTTTTCAGATGCTGGTACTGTACAATTACAGGATTTGGACCCACGAATCAAAGCAATGTATGAGGGTGTTAGGGATGTTCTGGCAAAATACCGTAGTGGCAAACTGCCAAAGGCTTTCAAGATTGTACCCAGTTTAAGAAACTGGGAACAGATATTGTACATCACAGAACCACCACAATGGTCCGCTGCTGCTATGTACCAAGCAACCAGGATATTTGCTTCAAATCTGAAAGACAAGATGGCTCAAAGATTCTACAACTTGGTCCTGCTACCCCGAATCAGAGATGATTTAGCAGAATACAAAAGATTGAACTTTCACCTGTACCAAGCACTAAGGAAAGCGCTTTTCAAGCCAGCTGGATTCATGAAGGGAATCTTGCTGCCACTCTTAGAATCTGGTACATGCACACTCAGAGAGGCAGTGATAATCGGGTCTGTGATCGCAAAGAACTCCATACCGATTCTGCACTCCTCAGCAGCCATACTGAAAATTGCAGAAATGGATTACACTGGTGCAAACAGCATTTTTCTCAGAATATTTTTGGATAAGAAATACGCACTTCCATACAGAGTAGTGGATGGAGTAGTATTTCATTTTCTCAGGTAAGTTGTGTAATAATCATGGCAGTCTTTAAACCACAGTGAGAGCGTTTTCTCACGCAAAACAACCTGCTTCTCATTCTTAAATAATCCATCAGATTCGAACGAGACACGAGAGAATTGCCGGTGCTGTGGCATCAGGCCTTCTTGACTTTCGTACAACGATACAAGAGTGATATCAGTTCCGAGCAGAAAGAGGCTCTGCTGAATTTACTGAAGAAACAGTCGCATCATTCGATCACCTCTGAAATCAGGAGAGAGTTACAACATGCGAAATGCAGGGACATAGAGATGATGATGGGACCCATCATCAGTTTCATGGAACCGGTGGCTATTTAAGTTACATTGAATACATCGTGTGTATATAATGTAACATGTATAATGTCGAAATATTAAAACTATTATGTACTGTCATTGGTAGTGTAATTATACGCGCTAATTACAATCAGAAACTCCTTTATCAAACAAGATTGAAATCTTAGCAAACTGGATATTCGATTTTGGAAAACTAGGTGATATATGCGATGAAATTGGACTGACGTAAACTGCGGTGTAAAAATACATTTTGTATTTAGCTTGATCTAGATTTCTTAAACGAATACGTGCATAATTTTTACAGTCAATATTATACAGATAATATATAACAAAAACACACGTACAGCACTTGTATATTAGATTGATCGAGAAGTTCATTTTTCTACGTTTTACTAGCAGACAAAATAGAGAAAAATGAAGAAATTAGTGCTAAAAAAACAAATAAGCGAATTTTGATTAATTTAATACTATAAATAAAATCGTCTTTATACATGTTCTACAAGTCGTAAATGTACTGTAAAGTATATATCATAAATCTGCCTTAAAACTTCGAGATCAAGTTCTAACGGTAATTTCTCATGTCAAACTCGATAATTTATACTCCAATTATTAAACACAAATAAAATATATAACATGACTCTGGTAGAGAGAGAAATCAGCGATCGGCTCATCCATATTATAAATAAATTCGTCTAATATTATGCCGTACGAATTCTGTCGTTTTCGTCCACTGCATATCTAGATCTCCGTATTGTCCTTGGAGTTCAGAGCTTTCAAGTCTCTCTGTTTTATGCTTGTGTGCTTCGCGTTCAGTGCAATCCGCGGGTCTACCGAGATTATCTTCGTCACTCCCTTTTCGGACGGATATACGTTTGTCTTGATCAAAAGTTGTTCCTCGATTATGTCCGATTTCGTTGTTCCTTTTTCTGACTCCTCTATCTCAGGTTTCTCGGAACTCGCCTGTAACTTCGAGCAGGTCTCGTAATCCCTATTGTTTATGTCTTTCAGCAAAGACTTGGATCTTTCAGTCGAACGTTCGCTATGAGCGACTGGTGCATCGCTCGAATTCACTTCTGCGCCGATGTCTCTCTTCTCACGCTCGTAATTCTCCAGAATGTCCCTGTGTATCGCCTGAACCTGCGGCTCGCTCTTGTTCTGCGACGGAACAATCGCGTTGTAGGACTTCGATTGATTGCTCATTTTCAACGCTATAGGCACGGAAAAGCGAGAGCCATCGTAGTTCCCTTGTAATTTGTCAGACGCGTCGATAACTTCGTTCGTGAGGACTTCCCGCTGCTCCTTCTTCGTCTGACGATTGCTGATTTCCTCCTCCACGATCGACTTCTGTAGAGCTCCTTTCGACAAGAGGTTCAAGACGGGACCCTTTATGTTCTCCGAATCGTTAAACTCTATCCTTTCTATTTTCGTCTCGTCATTATGTACCGGCGATTCTTTACGTATCGATAATCTCTCGGGTGCTACCAAGTTATCCGTCTCTTTGTCAACGAGGAGAGACTTACTCATCGTTGCATCTCCCGGTGATTTTTGCGCTGCTTCCGCGATTGCATTCCGAGAGATCTCCCGCGGCGACCCTGACTTCTCTTTATTTTCAAGCGCAATCTTCACGTCGTTCCTCTCGTCAGGCGTATGCAGCTTTTCGCTCAGCTTCACCTTGTCTGCTGCATTCCATTCTTTGTCTTCCAAAGTCTCTTTGATACGGTTACTCTTGTCGATGTTGACTTCGTTGTTTTCCGCGACTCTCCTGTCGTTTTCTCTCAAACTGCCTTCCGCTAAAATGTCCTCTTTCACGTTAATTTGTACTTTTTTTAGTATCTCGTCTTTCGCCATTCTTTGCTTCTCTCTCTCGAACTCCTGCTTCTGTTCCTTGATATCCTTCAGTATTTCTTTTTGCTCCTGCATCATTTGACGTTGCTCCAACTTGTGTTTCTCCAACGTTTTTCTCAGTTGCTCATGTCGTTCCGCGGCTCTGGCGTTAGCGACATCTCCATCGGCCGCCAACTCTGATTCCTCCTTTTTTATCGCATCTAAATTGATAAGATTATCGTTCTTCTGCGAGTCTACGGATCGCTCTTTTTCCTCAATCATCTTGATCTTCTCCTCCGCTTTCAACGTGACGACGGACTCGTCGAGCTTAACGACATCAGCGATCTGCGACTGTACGTCCGAGTTTTCATTATTTAATGTCTTGAGAGTCCCGACCTCTTTTATTTCAGGTAAAAGGGTACCGGATGCCGCTGCTATTTTATCAGATTTCTCGGCATTCGGTTTTTCGGTGACAATCACACGCTCGACAGGTATCGGTGGTTCTTGTCGAACGTCTTTCGCTTTCATATCCAACGCTTTCTCGAGGACTTTCTCGAGGACTTTCATCTCAGGTAATTGATTCATTTTTTCTGTAACGAAAATACGAAATCAGACTACGATCAGTAGCAACGGTAACAACAAAACCGTGCCTCTCACGCAACATCGTACCTTTCACCCTCGGAATGAGCTCCAAGTTATCGGGAGCGTTTGGAATGATTTGCAAATCGTCCTTAATTATGTTCAACGGTAGATTATTCATTTGCACGAGTGGCTTATTCGTTGCCGTCAATTTCGTGCTCGTGGACTTCTCCATGGCGTACAAATTGGCATACGTGCCGAGAACCATGATCCAAACGCCGACAATTAAAATACCCTGTGCATAAATAAGTGTCATACAATCAGTCATAAGGAGACAACTGCTAATGCGAGGTCTGGAAAATCGCCGTTACCTGAGCTAATAATCTTTCATTGGTGTTTTTGCTACTTATAGATATGAAAAATACTGCCGGGAATATTAAGCATATCATCACCCCGATTGTCGAGCCCACGATACCGAGAACGAACTCAATATTCGGCACTATAATACCGATAATCAATGAAATACTGACTACAGCGACAGTGAGACAGCGAAATCTGGATTCCGACAGGTAATTGATAGACGGCTCGTGGGTGTGTACCTGATGCAGTGGTAAAACATAAAGAGTTAGAATAGCGAAATAGCCTTACTGTGTTCAACTGTTCAAATATTTGTTTCCAAGTATACATACCCGTCGGAACAAGAGGGAATTCAAGCTCGCGCGACACGGAAAAATGACTAGAGGGAAGCTGAATGCAACCGAGAACACGAATCCCATCTTAATCAATTCGGACGTAATGCTAGGCTCGAAACTCAGTAAGATATTCCCTGCAATATGAGAAAATAATGCAATAGTAACCAAATAGCTGGTCGAGAGCGAGAGTGTATACGGCAGTTGGAATTATTTACATTACGTGTGTAACGCGTTCCTATCGAATTACCTGTGAACGGTTGGGTACAGAATGCAATGTAACCGAACAAGCCAACGCACATATATACAACGGTACATATATTTAATGCTCCTCGTACAACGTCGTTCATCTTCTCTAACGATACATTCGGAATGGTTTCGTATATCTCGAATAGCTGTGTCTGACAGAACAGAGCCATGGAAAATATCGGCAGGCATTGCAGGATACCACCTGGTCTCCAATAATTGATGCTATCGTACCAGTCTCCAGCAAAGATATGCTGAGTTGATTCACCTATTACCTGTCAATCAAGGAGAGAACAAGTGTGAGTGCTTATGTGTCATGTTAATATGCCACATTTATACAAATATAATATACTTTTGAACTATACTTTTAGCACAAGGCAGAGGTAGAAGACAATAGTAGCTGTGCAAATGCTAGACAGACTATCAATATTTCGTAGTAATCCTAGAGGTAAAACTATGAGAACACCAGTAACAATCAGTAGACTGGTGCGAATGTCCCCCGGAGTCTTATTCATCATCTTGCTGACTATTTGTGGTCCCAGATCACCAACCACGACAAAGTAGGCGATACATGTGCCTAGGAGGAAGCCGATAATGAAAAGTTCCACCAGAAATTTTCCCATGTGACCGAACGCGTGGAAAGCTAACAGCTCAAAGTTACGTCTCCTCGATATTACAGCAGACTTGACGAGGAAGTGACAGGCGAGTCGCGACAGGGTGCTGCATAGTAATAGCACTAAGATCGCCAATACGATGCCGCACTGCTTGAAGCAGAACGGCATCGCTAGGACGCTTACACCTATGATGCTGTTGGCGAGAGTCATCACATGCGACATTTGGGAGATCATTTTGGGAGGAATTTCAACTGCTCGCTAATCTCGTCTCTTGTTTATCGTAAGTTTCACATGGTGCGAGATCTCTCTTGTATTTCACATCTCCCTCAAGCTTCTGCAAATACAATTGACAGTGTTATTGTTAAAGATTTATAAATCTAATATGTAAGATAGAACGATAAAAATTCAATTTTTTACTAACGGAAAGTGTGGAGCAACTGGTTGCGTGACTCTTTCAGCGCATATCTAGCACATAAAGTGATGTCATATGCAAATATCCGCGGCATAAAGCGAGGGGACTCTTCTGGTAAATTGGCGAGGTTAGGATGTTGACCGCTGAGTGTTGACGTTGCGCGTTTTGCGATTAACGCACGTCAAATAGCGATTATCCTTATTATTTCCGGATGCTACATTGTGCGTCACGTTTGTGACAAAGCGCTTTGCAGACGGCACCGACGACGAGAACCATCGAGACGCCTACCGGCTTTTCGTGACTGTCGCCATTTTTAAATTTCGATTCTCTTCTATTTGTTATCGAACTGACGATATAAACACATTGAATTAATATAACAATACTCGTATACATATATATATATATAATTCATAACTTTTCAAGTGTAACTAAGTCGAAATTATCAATTCGGGGTAAATTAAATTTCGCCTTTTTGCCTCTTGGATCCGCAAATAAGTGAATCCCACAACTACCACATATAGATTTCTTTATTTTTTATTATAAATATTTAAAAACGTCCTCATATACATATATATATATATATATGTATATGTATATGTATACACACATACACATATATATTATATATATATATATATATATATATGTACTCTTACGCGTGGACATAAATATATAATACTTGATCTATATTTCGGATCGACTCAAGGTTATACGCAATGTCACTTCAGATTTGTTTTGTCTTTGTGTGGTGGGTAGGTATCAGTCAATTACAGTTACAGGCATTGTTATAGGATCAATGTGTCGCTGGCCTGATCCAGAAGACTCGGAAGAGATCGATCGCTCCGATCCGGTATCCCGAAGAAGATAAATTTTATGTACATAAAGGAGTATCAATGCACGTTTGTTGCTCTCGTGCACGAGTTTTTTTTTTTACCGAAAATACGTATGAAGGAAGATACGTAGCTTGAGGATCAGAGTTGGCGCAATAATTGCTGCAGAAAGATCGAGAATGCAGTCATTTGCAAGCCTCGTTCTTCGTGCATCAAAACTACAGCTACGTCTTCGCAATCTTGAATCGTTTGTCTTGCAGAAATGGAGATCTGTCTCATCACGAGAATAATTCTCATATCTCGTAGAGAGCCTAGCCTAATGTGTGTTTTAAGATTCTACAGCTACACTTGAAATCGATATATTTTTCAATCGCCGTAATTTCACCATACTTTCTTACACTTGCTGACCGTTTTTCGTTTGCATTTTTCGCATATACATCATTCGAAAATATCTGTGGATATTTCTTCCTTCATTAGTATTCATTTTCCCTGGTTCATATAGTAGCGACATTGTGGGATCCATCTACTGTCAATCTTAAAATTACTTTGGTAGAAAATGCTTAATTTCGCGTACGAACGCGAATTACACGAACAAATATCGATCTATGTCGATATCTCGTCTCCGCAAAATACATCATTCGCAACATTTCCGTTATCGAGTGAACCAGAGAAATTGTCAAAATGAATATTCCACTACTTTCTCGAATAATATATGAGGCGAAATACTTTACACTTTCAAGAATGACGATGCTCATCTCTATTATATCATTATTGCGTGCAAGGGTTTTGTTTAAGAATAATTTTGTTTGTTGTATATGTACAAGAATAGGAAGCAAACGAATTCGTCGAATCATTATTCTCGTCCCTCAAATCAATCTTGGTTTTTAAATTGCACCGCTGTCTTACGGGTCAATGGTTCGGTTAATCGTAACGTGTGTTACATGATTAACAACGCGAACATACCGTACGTTATATAAAGTGGGATGTTTAAAATGACATATCCGAAATATGTTCGTTGCGCGTAGTTACGTGAAAAAAATGAAATAAGATAAGCTTCTCAAACCAAGTTTAAAGAGGAAATGCGACAATGAGAAAGTAAATTCCGTTTTTAGAGTTTACTGCCGTTATTGCTAATTCCTTACATATGTATGTTTGTGCGCAACGAAGATATCAGAATGTAGTTTTAGATGTCCCGCCTTATATGGCGCGTAAGAGTGCATCTTATGCACTTTGTGAAATTTGATTGGAGCATTAGAGCGATAGAATCAGCTCGGTGCCCTGAAAGGTTGTCAATATTTCATAATTTTAAATCTACGAGATTGTGTAAATTTACATAAACTTCTCTGAATGCACTGATATATCTCTCTTATATAGGTCTCTTGGAATTGTTGAATTATTACATGACGCACGGATATATATATATATATATGTGTGTGTGTGTGTGTGTGTGTGTGTGTACACATATATACGTGTGTATATATATACACATGTATGCATATACACATGTATGCATATACACATGTATGCATATACACATGTATGCATATATAAAGAATCGCGATCAGACTATAAAATCTTGACAAATCGATCGGGTCACCGTGCACTTTATTCCACGAAAACGACATTTTTAATCGTAGGTGATTGTACTGAAAGAAGTGCCGATTTGAAATTATTCGCACATGCATTTCCGAATTTATCAGTCTACGATTAAAATTATGGAGCGTATTAACCTACATACACGCTCATACGTGTAAATTTCGGCGATGATGACGCTGCCAAAAACGAACTTGTCATATTTGAGAATCTGAATTTTTCGGATTTTTTTAAATATAGAAGAAATATAGAATACCGTTTCGAATAGTGAAGCAAAGTAAAGGCAGCGGACATCTATGCTCCTGTCACATAAATCATTTAAACTTGATTATACATTTAATTTAATTAAAAACATCTTTCCATTTCCCTCGATGTGTCAAAACAATCGTTTATCAGGGATTCGCTCCGCCATCTTTCTTCGTCTCCTCATTCGTTGGATTTGTCTTCTCGTCTTTCTCATTTTCTAGATAAGAAAGAAAATTATACACAATCGATATAGTTCCGAGATATTAATACACAAATATAAGAAAATATATTTGATATTTACCTTTCGGATCCGATTTGAGATCATCATCTTTCTTCATATCAGTGTCCATACTCTCCTGACCCTTTTCCAAGCGCGGTCGCTTCCGACTAGATCCCTTTAATATAAGGAAAACAAAATAAAAATATCTGCATTGCATATACAATACTGTATATATACAGTATTATATTGCGTGTACGAAATAATTAAATATCATAGATATTTATAATCAATGTCAGAAATCATTACCTTGAATGACCTGTTATCTCTTCGGCCACCTTCACCTTCATCTTCGCTATCGCTGTACTCATTTTCGTGTTGTATTCTTTTATCTAAGTCGCGCTGAGGCAATCTTTCGTCAGGATTTATCTTATCCTCAGCTTCCGAATCTTCGATAACAGCGCCGTCTTCTGGAATTGCTTGAACTTGTACGCCAGGTGCATGAGGTAGCATCCTCAGGTTTTCAAACAGTCTTGTTCTGAAATTATATGCAATTACGAACTGATCTATTTACAATGCATGTGCGAATCAAATGTAAGATTATGAATAGATTTACTTTATTTTCTCGAGATATTCCGGTGTATTTTGATTTGCCATGTTTGAGGGGCTAATGTGTAACTTGAAATCAGGACCAAAATACTCAAAATAATCATTATACGGAAGTTCATTTGCAATTTCACACCCCAAAGCTACAGACGTCTCATATGTCCAACATCTGGATACATTTCTGATCGTATAGCCACCACCTCCAACCATCAGAAATGGCAAATTATATTTTTTTACAAATTCCACGCATTTACCATGACCTCTCACGGTCAAATTGAAGCATCCCAATCGGTCACCTGCATCAATTATATTTATTAATTAAAATTTGTTAACTTTGTAATTTCAAAGCACAATGATTTTGTTTAAGACAACTATACCGGTTAAAGAGTCGGCACCACATTGCAAAACAACAGCAGAAGGTTGGAAGGTTTCCATGACCTTGGAAATAATAGGAACAAATATGGATTCATAGCTCTCATCATCCATACCATCTCTCAAAGGTATATTCACTGCATAATATTTTCCCTGTTAATAGTAAAAGAAAAGAATATCAATCAATTCCTAACACAAAAAGAACAAACAGATTTCACATGTGAAACGTTTACCTTTCCCGCCCCGATATCGCGAAGATCTCCAGTTCCGGGAAAATATTCGCCATACTTATGAAACGAAACCGTCATTACTCTATCCGTTGTGTAAAACGCCTCTTCGACACCATCGCCATGATGAACATCAATATCAATATACAAAACTCTCTGATGATATTTCAACAGTTCTAGAATACCAAGAACAATATCATTTACATAGCAAAAGCCTGATGCTTCGCTTTTTTTAGCGTGATGTAAGCCACCACCCCAGTTGATGCATATATCTGAAGCTTGCTTATTAAGCTTTACAGCAGCAGCTACAGATCCACCAGCTGATAATTGACAAAACTCATACAATCCATCGAAGACAGGACAGTCTTCTCCTACGTTAACTGTTATAAAAAAGTAATATTAGGGTTTTTAATTTTAATAATTCATTTATTAAATGTTATATCAATAATAAAATAGCTTACATCGTTGCATTTGTTTATTGTATTCAGACATGTTGTCTGGCCTTATTGACCTCAGAAATCTAATGTATTCATCACTATGAAATTTTGTCATCTCATCTGCTGTGGCTTTATGAGGTCTCTGAATAATAACAGGATATAATTACATTTAAATATCTTGCTGTGTTCAACAGTGTAAAGGAATATAATTGAGTGAGGATCAAGAAACATTTCTTACGTATATTTCCATCTTTCTGTAAAGGCCATAATTTAAGAGCAAATTGTGTGTCATCCTTATACGATGTGGCTTCATAGGATGTCCTTGGCCGTAGTAATAATTGCCGATATCACCTGATACATTACAGTGACATATATATAAATATAAAATATGTGAAAAACATATTAACACATCCTTATGGTCATGTCGCGCGTTTTGTTGGATGGACTACGGTGCACCGGAGCACACTTGAGAATCTCTCGTGATTTGCTACAAAAACTATATCTCTTTCTACAGAGTTCATTGAAGTGGCGATTTTCATGAAAAATATTTTCGGAAAGTGCGAATTGCATTCGTAAAATAGCGTTTTACATTTCGTATTAGTCAATAATCTCGCAAAATCCTTCGTTAGATTCTAGCGTCTTTCATAACCTGCAAACACCGCGATTTTGACGTTTCTCATTATCTTCACGACAAAATGCCGCTTTATGACAAAGATAAATTACACTATTAAACATAGCATAGATAATTATCTCTTGAGACGAGAATGTTTATTCGAAAATTCACGATTTGCAAAGTGTTTGTTTAATATCAAAAATTCGTGTCGCTCAAACAAAATTCGTACGTAGTCTATCAGGGGAATTCAAGTCACACAGAGCAGATATCATTCGTAGTTACAGAAATGGATGGATTACAGTTTATTGGTCGTATTAAGTACGAATATCTGATAACGACAAAGATCCTCAGGTATACGACAGAAATGTATATAGGTATGGCCGACGCACGCTCGCCTACGGTCGCATGGAAGTATAGCTGAGAGTCTCTCGGCTTAACGTCACAAAAACCGTACAATCGAGCAATAGTATCGTGAAAATTGTGGTGCATTGTACCGAAATAGTCGTGCCTCATCATACGAATAAGCGGCGACGCGCGAACGGGCCGATAAGCGGTTAGATATCAGGCAAATTCTGACGGAATAAACACGATGTGTACGCGATACGAGCGCGAACGGCGCAACACATTTGACAGACTCTCCATGTGTGTGCGGTATTTTCGCGGGTTTGTAAGATATGTTGATTTTTTGGTAACTCACTGTCGTAATAGTAGCAGACGCGTTTCCTGCTGTGCGGCATCATGGTCATTTTTGCAGGGTCCATTCTGATTAAACGGCGAAACACTGGGTATGGAATTAAACGGGTACCGCGGAGTGTCGCGGCTCTCACCAACAGGACACAGCGTCACTAAAGTTGCCGCATGCGCACGCGTCACGACTCGCACGGAAGTCTCGCTCGTAATATGCGAAGGTGGCGTTGTAACGCGATGAATTTTTTTTTTATCACGGAACAGAACTAGAATGTATGTAGATGGCCAATACAGGATTCACATTGCGTTCACATCTTTGAGTTTTGGGTATCGATCATAAATCTTTTCCTCTAGCGTAAACTCATGAAAAATTAACATTTTCATATGCTTTTACATTAGAACATTTTCATTTTTCGCAAATTCACGCTAGAAGAAAAGATTCATCATTGATATTCTCACATACATGTTGTTGAACATCCAATGGGAAAATTTGTTTTCCAAAGATAAAACAGCTGGTCTGTTCTTTATAGCTGCACTGCTGAACTGGTGCAATAAGCTAGAGTGAGAAAACCTATATTTGTCTCACTTTAACTTATTGCACCAGTTCAACAGTGCAGCTTCAAAGAACAGACTATTTGTCTCATTTTACCTTATTGCACCAGTTCAACAGTGCAACTACAAAGAACAGACCAAGTGTGTCAAGGCCATACCATTGAGTTGTGTGATTGGTTATCTAATTTTTAGATTCAGCGAACTAATGCCCATTTCTACCAACTTTGGTTAACTTAACCGTTAGTTACTCCAACGGAATTGACCAGTCACATTTGTCATTAACTAGAATTATTAAATGCGATTGGTCCATTACGATGGAGTAATCAGTTGGTTAAATTAACCACGGTTGGTAGAAACGGACATAAATCCCCCAACTAGAATCCAAAATTATTACGGATCAAACATGGTTCCTAATAAAGCCAGCGGCACACGGTGCTTGTTTTCGTGCTGGATTGCTTGCTGGATGAAAATATTGCGTTGTGATTGGTACATTTCCGAAGATGGATGGAAATGCACCAATCAGAACGCAGTATTTTCATCCAGCAAGCAATCCAGCACGAAAACAAGCACTGTGTGCCGCTGGCTTTAGTAAAGTTGTTAGGAGATCGGATTAATCTTGTCATGTAAATATAGTCGACCTGTTATTTTGTGTTATATTAACAAACTGATATGGGGTTTGATCTGATATGTTTCGTTTAGTATTTGTAACTGCCAGCAGTCAATCATAAACGCATAAAATATCTTATATCTATAATGCCTTTCAAACTCGACTGCAATGTTTTTATTGTAATTTTGAATCTTGTGAGCTGGTAAAGCAATTTATTACAATTAACTTAGAAATTGAAGCACGAATTAGTATTGATTGAACCCATAGTGTTTATACATTTTTCTGTATTATTCAACTTTATAACGAATCGAGAATGTATATAAAAGTTGACTATTGCCTTATATAAAATATGGAAAATATCTTTTGAGACAACAAGACTAAAGAAAAACAAGAAACAAAATGTTATCAACACCAAAGGCAAAGAGTGGTTTGTTTTTGGCTTCATCTCTCTGTGATGGGCTTGAAGACAATAACATAAGGTAAAAAATAATCTGTTCACTATAATAGATATCAATTTCTGTAATTATATTTTTTTATTTTCTTTTTGTAATGATATAAATCTTTATAGACAAGTGGCGACTCTTTTGTTAAATAAAGATGCAGACCCTAATATCTTAATTCCAATGCATGGAGTTACTCCATTTCACTTAGTTATTGGCAACGATTCAATAGAATTTGCAGAAGAAGTCACCAAATTATTTTTACGCCATGGTGGTGATCCCAATGTGAGGTAAACATACATATAGATTGTAATTGTAGTGATCTTATGCATATATGCAAATACAATAATTTGTATGCTTTTAGGTCAAATGATGGAATGACTCCAGTTCACGTAGCAGCAGCTTGGGGAAGAATAAATATATTGGAGTTGCTTTTAGCAAATGGTGGTGATCCAGTGTGTTTAGACAGTGATGGACGAAGTCCATTTCATTATGCCTTCGATGGAAAGTATTTCAAAGCTGTGACAATGCTCGCAAAATACTGTGAGGACATTCAAGATGATGACGATGAGCCAAAATATAATATGGTGCTCGGTACTTTGATTCTCTAAATTTCTATTCTTCATAGAATCTTTGAGTCTTGTATTTTGCAATTCTTTTTATTCTTAATGTTGCAGATAAAGTTTTAGTTACTAATGGAGACATAATTGCTGAGTATGTTACATCATCACATGATACAACACACAATATAAACACAGATAATGCATCAAAGAATGATATGCTTCTTGATTTTTATAACTGTAAGCCAAGTTTTTCCCCAATGAATCTAGAATCGAATAACATGCCAGAAATATATAATAATATTACAAAGGAATCGAAAAACATAAGTATGGAATACAAAGAAGACATAAATATAAAATCTGCAGATTTATCTATAACTAATAATCAGATGATTATTGAGCAGAATAATTTTTCACAGACCAATAATAAAGACATACTAAATTATTCATTTGTTGATCTCGATTTTGACTTTGCAAACCTGTATCTCTCTGATGTCATGGAAAAAGAAAAGTGTCTTGTCGGTAAGATCATTAATCATCTTTCAACAACATTAACAAGTGACTGCACCATTAATGAGACTTTGCAAAATTACAAGAGAAACAAGCAAGAGAGCAGCAACATAACAAGCAACTCAGATATGTCATTCCCAATAAAAGAGAAAAGAGCATTTTATGAATATAAATATGGCAAAACTCCAAAGAATTTTTCACTCAAACTCAAACATAATTGCAACAAGGATATTTTGAAACCTAACACTCCCATTGTGAGAAAGAAGTATCCAAGGTTCAATACAGGAAGCATTTCTAGAAAAAAGCATAAAAAAACCTCAGACAAAGTTCTCTTAACACCACCTTGTATCCTGGATAATTCCATTATTAGTATGTCACCAAACTTTAATACACCTAATCATAGGAAGAAAAATACTATGAAGACTCCATTAATACTCTCACGTATTCATGATGATGATGATATTATCAGTAAATCGCCTAATTTCACAACACCGGTTCGTGTAGGTAAAAAGAAAAACGTAGAGAAAACATCACTCGGTAACAACTGTCTATCTTCAAAAGTATTCAAGAAATCTCACGAGCACAAAATTCAAACGCAATACTCCGAATTTAATCGGTGCAAGAGATACATTGCTCAATCTACACCGAGAAGAAAGAAGAAATTTATATATAAGCTTCATTCTGGTAGGAAACGACTCGATTGTTATCGGCAAGAAGATAACATTACTACTGACGACTTCATTGTTCGTAACACCTTAAAGCCGATCAATTTGGATAAAACTATTTTCTCAGAAGTGGCTGAAGATGCAACTCGCCATAATACTCTAAACTCTAATATCGGATCTCTATTGTTGAACTCTAATGAAAGTTTGGAAATGGAACGTCAGAATTATATGCCAATCAAGTTGGACGAAGGTAAATACGACGAGGATGATATAGCACGTGATAACAGCGATTCGAGTCAGATAGATTTAGATAATAATATTAATCAAATGGAAAAAAAGAACGAGTCTATTGATAGTTTCGACAGTGATAGAAGGGATGATATAAAGCGTGAAAACGAGCAAACGAATGCTCCATTTGTGACAATTCGAAAAAATAGATTTAAAACTGGAAGGACAACTGAGACAGCAAATTCAGCTACCGATAATATCAAATCTACATACACGACTGACTCGTTACACGGCGAAAGTTATGTGGATTGTATTGAATGTGATACCAAGAAATTATTAAATGAAGATATATATATTAATATAAGTAAGAGTTGTAATTTACACGCAAAAAATTGGTGCAGCAACAGATTCCACAAACCCTTCCCAAGTAAAGCAAAAACACAAGGTGACTTGCATATTCCCATTGTGAATTTATCCGTAAAATGTGGGAGATACATCTATCTGCCAACTTTCTCTTCGACTTTATCTTCAGAACCAAATGGATACAGTGTCGACTCGAAAAGAGCAGAGGGCACATATGAGACAAACTTAAATGTACATAAAACCGAAAGGAGTTCGTGAGTATATATCTCGATGTTTTATTATCTCAACGCGAGGATGTTTTGAAAAATTACAATCTATTACTTAAATTGTAGATCCCTGTTTTCGTATGTTACTGCTCAAGAAGAATATAAGTATGAAGATCTCGAAGAAGGCATAGTTTTGGTGGAACGGAGACATTGCATTTCACCATTTGCGTGAGTTGATTATAATTTTTTTCTTAAAACATCTGTGTACATCATATATGTAATATGTATATTCTTTCAATGAGTGAATAATCTTAAACTTAGCATTTGCAAGTTGTGTATCATTATCAAGCTAAATCATATAAAATTATTTTTTAGTACTTTCAGTGGTAGTGAATGCGATGTCAGAAGCAAAAGAACGGCTGTATCTGGTAAGTATATTGTAAAATATGAAACCGTTATTGTTAAAATAGTCGAAAGGTATTTTATCTGTTATGTTTCACTTACAGATGCTTCAGTGTCGACTGTCCTGAGCTTACCGAAAGAACTGTTAATTGACGACGTTGCGCTCAGAAGAGAACTTGCTCAGCTTGGCGACCAACCCGGACCAATTACTAATACCACCAGACATATTTACCAGAAACGTCTTATGTATCTTAGAAGCATCAGAGATACCAATTCTTTACCGAGGCTCTCTGCGCCACAAAACGCCCCGAAGAATTGCGCGGATCATCGAGTTATCAAGCCTCATTTAGAGTTTGGCGATTGGATAAATCATCTAGATACCTACAGAAGCTTGGAGAAACAGGTGTTCCAAGAGTTCGTATCGCCAAATCCATCTCGACGATGGCGCGAGGGCATGTCGCAGACGTCTTTCAATTATCTGCTGTTAGATCCGCGTATATCGCAAGACCTGCAATATCGCAATGTTTATCTTACGGAATCCGAGGTATGGTCGATCTTTCTTGATGCTATATTTTACATCGGAAAAGGCAAACGTTCCAGGCCGTTCGCACATCTCTATGACGCTTTTAAAGTATGGGTATCGAAGGCGTCCATCAGTACGAATAAGAAGATCAACCGCATTCTCGATATATGGAACAACGATCATGGCGTGATCTGTCTGCACATCTTTCAGAATGTTATTCCAGTGGAAGCCTACACGAGAGAGGCCGCTATGATAGACGCGATTGGAACGGAAAACTTAGGAAATTGCAAGGGCGGTGAGTATTACGGCATCGCTGCGACGTGGAGCATACAGCAGAAAGAAAAATTCGGTAGATACTTATTGTACAAAGCTTTGCAGATTTTATTGCACGAGGGAGAGCGCCAGCTTTTCCCTCAGAATTTGTAATAATTGATCTTCAGTGTTGTACAAGAAGAAAGATCTCATTCGTGTAGATATAAATAAGTATGGTGCAATAGATTATATACAAATTTTGACATGCAGGTAGCTCAAATTTGTGAATTATATCTCCATGTACCTGTCAATTTATTATACTGACTCTCCCAATATAATAACTATGTACGTACAAATGAGAGAACAAAGCTGTACAAAATATATTTTTAAAATAGAGAATATTGAACATCGACTAGGACTATTACTTTAAATAAATTAGATGAATCAAGAATCAAGGTGTTGCATTATGTATGTATGATACAATGACTATAAATATAATAAATTTATTTATTTATAACTTGACGTGTGTAAATCAAGCTACATGATCTTATTGATCTATAAAGGAAAAATAAAACTATATATTGAATGGATCATTCATTTATATATATAGATATGATCATTACTTTTGTACAATGTTTATTAATACAAACAGATGAATATACATATGAAATATCCTAAATAAAGAACTTTTATTCATTAAATTTGTTTAACAAATAATTACAAATTTACAGATAAGGTCTATCAGGCTCTGTATTTTTTGCCTTCTTATCTCTGCTTCTAGGAAACCATCTGTGTTTAGTAGTGTATGTCAGTTTTGTTAGTTCATCAATAACCATAAATTCCTTTTTTTTCTTAAACATTTCTGCGACATCTTTGTCTCCGATTCGCAATACAGAATTGTCCTCGTGCACGACCTCTGATAGAGGCAGAGAATATTTGTATGGAAACTGTTTCTCTGGATGCCAACAGACAACCATATCGTCTTCTGTAAATATTACTACTTCTGAAGGTAGAGTACTATATTTAGCGTGTCTCGCAAAATAGACACTAGTCCGAAACGTACGTAATATAGAATTCATCTGTCATTGAAAGAAACAACAATTATTAGTAGAATTACTAGTAGAATGATAATCTTCACCCTATGTTTTACATTTTAATCATCATTAACCAGCATGAGTGCAAAACATAAGTGCAAAATAATTATGTCATGTAGCGTTTCTTATAATGATAGTTTTGTATATCTTATACATGATAATTTTCTCTCCGAATTCATACCTTGAAGGATATATGCTCCAATATATCTTCATATATTCACAGAAAGTAAATGTTCAATCTCTAACCTCACAATTTATTATGCGAGCTTCTTCCCAACAACAATATCGTTACTACCAGTGAGGTCGTACTACTGAATAATTATTGATTCATCTTGCTCAGTCATTGAGTCGTACTACTGAAGATAAAAATCCTCAAAACTTGAACTTGAGTTTATAGTTTAATTCATGTTATAATTTTTATAAAAAGCTTATTTATAATTTAAAAATAAAGAAAGAGTAAATATTTGAAATATTAACAAAACAATAATATACTTTGCATTCCGAAATCGATTTCAGAAACTTTGCTTTTAGTTATAAGATTGGTAGGCCTTAAAATAATGAAAGAGTGAGATATGTACGTTCCGTAATTGATCAGCTTGTCACTCTTGAATGTTCAAACATGTCTTTGTATGTACTTTAGAGGAGACTGTGTCGTGTTAGAATGTAAAGTTAGCACGACCTTTTTTTAATTTCGATTTGTTGGTATTAAAAATACGGAACTTTTTTTTATTTTTATCAAGAACTGTAGAACAATAGGCCTGTTCGTTTTGTCTGCATTGCTGAACTGGTGCGTTAAGTTAAAGTGAGACAAACGTAGGTTTTCTCACTTCAACTTGTTGCATCAGTTCAGCAGTGCAGACAAGACGAACAGGCCTTATGAAAAATGCTACTGGAACTAATATTGTTTTTCAATAATTTTTAAAACGTCGTGCTAATTTCACAGACACTGAAAAGATTGGTAAAATTTTCGAAAATGAAGTTTTAAATTTCGAGCACTTTCGGTGACCAACCGGAATTTTAACTTTAGGGCCAGAGCACAGACTTTTGCATAACGCATAGTACATAACACATAAGAGAATAAACCACTTAGTTTTCTTCATTTCCCTTCTCAGGACAGAAATGAAGAACTCTGATTGGTTGATTCTCTTATGGAGGATTCACACTGCGTCCGATGTCCGACGTACGACATCCGACATCCAATAGGAGAACAGCTTTCTAATGGAGAATTGAATTCTCCATTGGAAAGCTGTTCTCCTATTGGATGTCGGACGTCGTACGTCGGACATCGGACGCAGTGTGAATCTTCCATTATGCGTTGTGTATTATGCGTTATGCAGAAGTCTGTACTCTGGCCCTAAACCACCGACGAAATTTTTTCTCACATCTCGCAATCCTAGTACAACACACACACACATACACACATATTCGGCCTGTTTTCCGTATTCTTGATACTTTCCGATACCTTTTTTTTTCCATTATCCCATATCTGTTACCATTCATTCTTATTTCGAGCTTGGTTTTAGCTACTAATTTTGTAGTGCTAGATAAAAAAATGGGTAAATTTTTTTTATTACTTATTATCTTGATTATCAAATCTCCCGATCAATAAATAGATCGTATGAATCAACCGATCCAAAACCCATTTTGAAATGCATTCCTAGTATAAAGCCAACAGCACACGGTGCTTGTTTTCGTGCTGGATTGCTTGCTGGATGAAAATATTGCATTCTGATTGGTGCATTTCCATCCATCTTCGAAAATATGCCAATCAGAACGCAGTATTTTCATCCAGCAAGTAATCCAGCACGGAAACGAGCACCGTGTGCCGCTGGCTTAAGAACGTCAAAAGTCCTTATGGCGCATTCATATTGAACATCTTATCAAAAAATGTCCAATTTTTAACGCAACATGTGTACGACGTCGAAAGTACTTGGAGTATATAATCACCATCGGCGATGGTGAGTGGCGTTGGAGCATCTATTATATGCACAGAGCCATCTATTGAAGAAGAAGAAGAAGACCATCGGCGATGCGAGCGCGACACACATAACAGCTGTGTACAACGAAGTCACTCCGAAAAATCAAAAACCGTCCTTCTGTACGTAAAGGGAAACATGTTTGATAGGTGGCAAAACAAATAATGTTTCACGGCTAAGCCTGTGAGATTGTACAGCTGTTCAAGAGTTCTGGGCTTCTCAGATCCGTGAATGTGCGTCGGCGGTGTATCGGTGAATGGTGTACCGGCTATCCTCGAACTGTACTAATTATTATCTATTTCTCCGGTGCTCTACGTTAGCACCCGTATTACTTGTAGTGGTGAAGGTGCGATGAAGTAAAGCCGAAGGATGATGATGGGCGAACAATTTCGTAGCAAAGTGGAGCAGTACTCGCCAAAGTCTTCACCGAGGGGTGCGCGCTCCCCAGTTGTATCTCGTCAAGACTCCACGGGGACCCTGAAGACGACCATTTCCTTGGGGAAGAACCCCTCCATCGTCCACAGCGGACCTTTCTACTTGATGAAGGAACCTCCTGGTAAATGAGAAACTTAAAATCAATATTATGTATGATATGCAGAAATTCTTTTAATCAATTAAATTAGATTGTAATTTCTGTTGTTTGGACTTTTTGGATAAAATGTTTCATCTTTTGAGTGAAAAATTTAAATCTATATTTTGTTATCAATGACGTATAGTGAAAGTGCTTTAAAGGTTATAGTTTTTCTTGCACATGTAAGCTTGTTACTTTCAGGGGAAAGTGAACTTACTGGGGCAACAAATTTGATGGCCTATTATGGCCTAGAACATTCCTACAGCAAGTTTAGTGGTAAAAAGCTTAAAGAGCAGTTATCTTCCTTCTTGCCAAATTTGCCTGGTATTATAGATAGACCTGGACATCAAGACAACAGGTAACTTTTATAGCTCTGTTACCAGAATTAAAAATTTGATATATCGATTCTGGTTACTTCATATATTTTATTTCTTTTAGCTCGCTAAGATCGGTGATAGAAAAACCACCTATTGGTGGTAAAGAACTACTGCCTTTAACAAGTGTACAATTAGCTGGTTTTCGATTACATCCTGGCCCTGTAAGACATTTTTATGTTTTTATAATTTGCGTATATCTTAAAAAAAGAGCCAATATCTGTAACTTCCAATTATAGAATATAGCAAGTTTTACAATATAGCAAATTGTTTAAAATTATTGCAATAACTAAAGCTGATTAATTAACACTTTAGCAACTAGAATAAAATCTATGTCTGAATTCAGATAGTTACAGAATTTAAAATGTTAAGATATTTACAAAAACATCCAAATTTTCCCCTAGTTGAAAATTGAAGACTGGCAGACATTGTGGTTCTGTTTTAAGATTAAAGATGGATAGGGGGATAGGGAATGAGAAGATACAATGCAGATTACTAACAATTATATTTAATAATTTGTAGTTGCCAGAACAATATAGATACGTAAATCAAGCACCTCAGAGAAAACACAAGAATAAGCATAAGAAGCACAAACATAAACCTGGAGAGGTACTTGGTGGACAGGAAGCCACAACGACAGATGTTGGTGGTTCTGATACGCACGAGAAGAAACATAAGAAGCAGAAGAGACATGATGAAGAGAAGGAAGCCAGGAAAAAACGAAAGAAGGAAAAGAAGAGGAAAAAACAAAAACATAGTCCTGAGCACACTGGTAGTCTTACACCATCTCAGCATTCCAACTCGTGATCTCTAATCTGCCCCTTTCAGTTTATGCCAAATTTTTAATTGAACTGTAAAAGTGTATGAACTTTCTTTGTTTCTAAAACCCACTTTAAACGGTCGATAATTTGTTACAAAATTTGTAACCACTATGTTGTTAAAAAATTTTCACCAGTTATATATGCATATGCATATGCATGCATATAAAAAGGCTTATATATCTGTTAATGTAATTTTCCAATTTTTCAATCGTTTTTGTTCTTTTATTTTTACTTTCTTTTTCTGTTTTTTTTTTCTTTTTCTAATAAAAATCAAATTATGAATCGTTTCAAGTGGACTCAAGAAATATTTAGTTTAGAACATACATACAGTAAGACACGCGAAAACAGCGAAAATCAACCATGTATCTTTCATTGTATGTATGTTCTAAAATATATTCTCGTGTATTTATTTCTTTCACTTACGCATAACATGTATCGTCCATTTTCGGTATTCGTAATATGACGAAAGAGGCAAATTATGATGCAGATTATTATGTAGATATATACATCACGTAAAGTAATACGATAATTTCTTGTCAATCTTTCTACATTTGTGTAATTGCAGTTTAATCAACATATGTTTAGAAGTTAATGAAGGAAAACATGGCAAAGAGCTTTAATTTTAGGAAATTACTTGCTCAATCTTTTTATTGCTCTGTATGCCAAATGCATATTATGTTTCTGTACGTTATAGTATGAAAGTAAATATAAAATAATTAATTCGTTTAAGTTTGTCAAATTTTGATGCCAAATAGATAGGGCATTTAATTTAACAAATTAAACATTATATGTTCGACTCTTGGCAAGTTTTACAGTATATGCAAGGTTTGACATTTGTAATTATTCAAAAATTCAATTTGTATAGTTTCTTCTACTTATATGCTTAATCCTTCCTCAAATGTCTCATCTTTGTTATGGCTCTTTACGAACCTTGTGAAAAAGTAATTAGTAGAAAAAATGTAAAATATAAATGTGTAATATAGTAGTTATGCACAGGATGCATCTCGCAGACTCAACTGCATGTTTATACCGGCGTATTGTAATAACGAATAAACAAAAATGTAAATATTCTTATTAATGGAAGACTGTGAAACAAAGAAATAGAGTGAGTGAGAGAAAAAGAGAGAAATCAGATACTGCTATTCTGTGTAAAGTGTTTCAGAGTGCGACATAAAACCTGTACGTTTTAAATCTGATGTATTGAGGAGTCTATCGGCGCGGAGGGGAGATGTCAAAGATTTAATTTTAAATGTAGTATTTATAACGCGCAGAAAAAGAAGGATAGAATTAAAGCGATCGATTTCAACAGCAATTAATATTTTCTTTTAATTTATTTTCCTTATTCCCTTTCAATCGTTTGTACTCTCCTTTTGTCAATAGGATTTTGATATAGAATTTGAAATTAGAGAAATATACATTAACATTCATCTCAAAAAAAAAGAATTCTCAGTACCTATCCTATACATAATTCAATTTACACAAGTCTTTAAGATTTAAGGTAATTTTTTGATAATTGGTGCAAAGCTTTATTTGGTGAATTATTAGGTCTAACCAATCATTATACTATATCATTATATTATGTCCGATTGCATCGTATCCAATTAGGTCCTTCTCCCTTGTATTGTGAAGTTTAAAATTTAGTGGAGCAAAATGGATTTTTTTTAGACATGTTTTAAAATATTTAACTTATATAAAGCAACTTATATAAAATAACTTGTACAAAACGACGAATGTACAATAAAATTCACTTTTCGATATGTTTGAACTATTGTAAATGCAGAATTTTTTACCGATCGTGCTAATTGCAAATAATTGCGAATATATATATATCGTCACGAAATATGTGGTTTTAAATTTGGTAGAATCGAGAGCACATGAGTCGTCAGTTAAATTGATGAACGTTATAATAATTAAGTTTGTAATAGGCGTTAAATAGAGCAATTATCTAAGGAGCGTGCCATCGTAGCGTGCTAGGTCAGTTACTCCATGATTCATATCAAAGAGGAACGTGAGAGCGGCCAACACGGTGTTTTCGACGACACCGACTTTCCGCACTGGGAAAGGACGTCATCTGCATTCATTTTAAGAGGGGAACTACGAGGCTACATCCAATGTCAAGTTTCGGCGGTAAAATCTGTATGTGGTGGCAGTCCGTGCTACAACCATAATAGCGTACTTGACAAGCACGGTCTCGCACATTGTTACGCGTTTATAACATGAATTAACATGTTAACATGTGCAAAAAAAAAAGAATTGACATTATGTATGATTAATATCATGAAGATCATACGAAGTGTCCGGTTAGCTGCAACCCGAAGTGTGAGGGTAGATTGGGTTAAGGCAAACATAAAAGTCCCATATCATTTTACGAGATTCGCAATAATTATCGAGTTATTAATGACAGAAATCTGAGGAGTAAAAGCGCGCCGACATAGATGATTCGAAAAGCGTTGCAGCTGCTCAGGGCAACGATCATGAATCTTTTCCCTAGCGTGAACTAATAAAAAGTGAAAGACTTCTGTAAATCAGTGAAAAATGAAAAATTTTATATGAATTTGTGAAAATCGAAACATTTCACACGACAATTGAGTCGTTCAACATGGCAGTTGCGCGTTCTGGATAATTCAATGAATACCAAAGAAATCAAAATGATCAAAATAATAATGTCCACGGACATTTATTTATTAATAACTCGATAATTATTGCGCGAATCTCGCAAAATGATATGGGACTTTATGTTTGCCTTAACCCAATCTACCCTCACACTTCGGGTTGCAGCTAACCGGACACTTCGTATGATCTTCATGATATTAATCATACACAATGTCAATTCTTTTTTTTTTGCACATGTTAATATATTAATTCATGTTATAAACGCGTAACAATGTGCGAGACCGTGCTTATCAAGTACGCTATTATGGTTGTAGCACGGACATAAACCGCCTAAAAATGGATGTAGCACGGACTGCCACCACATACAGGTTTTACCGCCAAAACTTGACATTGGATGTAGCATCGTAGTTCCCCTCTCAAAATGAATGCAGATGACGTCCTTTCCCAGTGCGGAAAGTCGGTGTCGTCGAAAACACCGTGTTGGCCGCTCTCACGTTCCTTTCTGTTCATATATAACTCGCCACCAGGCCATTGGAGTTGTCATTACGTGCATAACCTATAAATGATCAATAAATCTTTTGTTTATTTTTGCGCAGGATTTTAAAGACTAAATATCTCTTTTAAAAGACTAAACATCTGTGAACGATAGAAATGCAGCGTAACATACTTCGAGCAGCAAATTTCCAGGTGCTGCAGAAACGCTTTTTTAAGAAGCATCATGTCAGGGTTAGATTTGCACCTAGTCCTACCGGTAATAGGCGGCGAATGCCGCAAATATTATTTTTTTTTAGAACAAGTTAAATTCGATCTCGTTGCTAAAAGAATACTAACAAATTGCTAAAAGAATACTAACAAATTGAACTATATACAGTGGCCACATACTTCAAGTATAATTTTTTCAAGTTACAAGTTTCGTTATATCGTATGTATATTGTGCAGGTAATCTACATCTAGGAGGTTTGCGTACTGCATTATACAATTATTTATTTGCACGTCGCAAACAGGGTGCCTTCATCTTGAGAATTGAGGATACTGATCAAACAAGAATAGTTCCAGATGCAATAGAAAAGCTACAAGATGATTTGTTATGGGCAGGGATTATATCCGACGAAGATCCTATTAGAGGTGGTCCTGTTGGTCCTTACAAACAGTCAGCAAGACTTGAATTATACCAGTATGTAATTAGGTCTTATGAAAAAATAAAGAAGCAAATTGGCCTGTTAGATTGCTTCATGACATTTACTTTTATTCACAGGGAACAAGTACTCAAGCTTTTAGATAATGGATCTGCTTATTATTGTTTTTGTACAGAAGAAAGACTAGTCTTGTTAAGGAAAGAAGCAATGAAATGTAGGCAAGTGCCCAGATATGATAATAGATGTCGGCATTACAGTAAGGATGAAGTGAAAGAAATGCTCAGAAAAAATCGTTCTCCCTGTATTAGATTTAAGGTATAGTTTTTCAAATGTCAAACTTGATAAATTAGACATGGTCTGCTTATGATGAATATCCTACAGTTATCATGTACACCGGAATCGTTTTGTGATATGATATACGGAGATGTGACACATGATATTGCCAAAACTGAAGGGGATCCAGTTATTATCAAAGCAGATGGCTATCCTACTTATCATTTTGCGAATGTAGTAGATGATCATTTCATGAAAATATCTCATGTCTTACGAGGCATTGAGTGGCAAGTGTCTACACCTAAGCACATTATGCTTTATAAGTGAGCAGCCTCTTCAAAAATTCAATATATTTTAGACGTGATAATCGGCTATATTATAGATTCTATTGATTACAGAGCATTTGGTTGGGAACCTCCCATTTATGGACACTTACCTTTAATATTAAACACAGATGGGTCTAAGCTATCAAAGAGACAAGGCGATATAGATATCGAATCGTTTAGGAAACAGGGTATTTTTCCATTAGCATTATTGAATTATGTAATAACTGCTGGTGCTGGTGGTTTTCATAAAGAACAAGAAGACCAAAACCTTTATAGTTATCAGGAGTTGATCAAACAGGTAAGTTACTTCATTCAATCAAAATTATTATATTCTTATAAAACTTACTGTTTTAACATATTATCTTCTATGATAGTTCGATGTCAATAAAATAAAAACGAGCTCTGGTAAACTTATGCCTGAAAAACTGCTACAGTTAAATAAATTGGAAATCGCAAATCTATTAAGAGACGAGGAGAACCATAGTTTCTTGGTCGACAGAGTTAGGAAGTTGGTGCTAAAAGCGTTTCCTGAACGGTACGTTCAATTTCGTAGTATACCTATAATTATTATCTTATCCCTTATCTTCTCTCAGGATGCAGATTTCTATTCTAGGAGAAATGATGGAAGTTTGCAGTTAGATGACTATCACATAATTACCACATTGAAATGGGCACAAAACAGGATATCCATGCTCAATGATCTTGTCAAGACAGAATTAGCATTTTTGTGGGTTGTGCCAACTTCTGCGCCAAGTATTAAACAAAGTGAATGCTCAGGTTACAAACATTTCTTTGTATGAAAATTACACGATTTTGTTGACCACAAAGTTAAAACATACCTTATTGTTATAGATATGATTAGGCTGTTGAACGCGGAATTGGCTGAAATGGATGTGAATAATTACAAGACCGATTGGATTGCTCCATATTTGAAAGACTTTGCTGCTAAGAAAGGGATTCCGTTTGCTGCTTTGATGAAAATTTTAAGAAGCATTTTAAGCGGTGTAAAGGTATGCGCAATAATTACAAATGAATATCGTTTCTATTAGGAAGAAAGGTGCTAATATACAAAATGATGTTTTTAATAGGATGGACCACCTGTTGCCGAGATGATGGAAATCTTGGGAAAAGACAGAACATTGTTACGATTACGGCGTTGCGTTTCCTGAGACTATATTATATTATATTACACTGTATAACGGCAAGTCGACTATATTATCGAAAGCAAGTTCGAAGAAATAACTTCAACTTGTACACGTACAATTTAACAGAAAGAATATAACAATTTTGGGAGTTCAGTAATATGTTTAAAGTATCTTTTTCGAATAACTATTCCGCAAGTAAAAATAAAAATTATTTTCTAACTGATTATAAATTAAAAATACTCTCTAAGTGATAAAAAGAAAGTTCCACATGATCAGTAAAAGAAATTCTAGTCGAATATACTTACAGAACGACAGATAATATTGAATCTTATATGTATATTTTTTTCTCTATATTTTAGAGTATATTAGGAAGAGATAAATGAATAAAGCAAACAACATTATTTATACAAAGTTTTAATAGAATTAATAACCAATTATTTACTTTAATGAGACAAAAACTATGTTTTAATTTTTATGAAATGTACTTAAAAAAAGAAACGCCAAAATATAGAACTTTGAAATTTAATTTTATTATAGAATATTGATTTTTGACACAGTGAATAGTTTGGAATATTCGCATTTTATACAATATAACATATAATTTGTAATACGTAAGTATATTTCAAAAGATTAATAAACATGTAGAAATGATGCATAATTGTATTAACAAAACAGATGTACAAAGTGTGTGTATACAACAAATTGAACACATTTATTCTTAAATAGCTTTTTCAATATATTACGATATCTTTTATAATATAATATAACAGGATTTATAATTATAAATATTAGTAGCTTGTATTCAATACTAAGTACGAAGTACCGTTAGTAATCATAGCTAACATTGAAAATGCTAACATGCGATTATAAATCCTGCCGCCGTGTAAGTTTTTGAATAAATATAAAGATATTGTGCTTGAGAAATCATTTGTTATTACATCTGATACTATAATAATCCAAAACTGTTTGGACAAAATGTTGCATCTTATGCTTCCAAAAATATAATCTTCCATTATAAAAAATCATGAAACCAAATTATAATTACAAATGTGAGTTTTGTGCTTTTGCATAAGGCCTATTTTTTTTGCAAAGTAAATGTTTCTATTTACATCTCATAAAAGGATAATATTCGGTATAATACTTTATACCGGTATAATACTTCATTACACATCAACATCTATCTCTGAATATTCGATGATAAATACAATAAAACTGATGCAGGAACATTAAATATTTTATTTTACTAAAACTTAAAATATTTATCTTCTAAGTTGTCCTCAGTGCAATACTAGAATAATAATGTATGTGCCATTAAAATTGAAAGAGTGCGAGTCGAAGTGCTGTCGAAATTGATTTACATTGTCATGTGCTTAAGCTTACAATACAAATCCTTAAAGGAGAAGAGACACTTGACAAAACAAAAGATTTTATATATGATATCCAAAATAATTATATTGCAAATTCCAATAAATAATATATTAATATTATAGATAAGTTTGTTAATACATATTAGTCTTTATCACAGTAGTTTTAGATTTATGTTATAGTATACTAGTGACATATTTATAATCCTGTATGTAATGTGAACGGAACTTTTTATACGTATTTTGAATATCTTTGTCGATCTGTGTAACGTCATAAATATTTCTAATGGTAAGATTGCAAGATGTTAGCTCATCGTGCTTAAATTTGTCGACATATATATAACTTACTTGAGAAAATTTATTAAGTATGTTAATCAACTGTATGGCGTAGCAAACTACCGTAATCAATTAAGCGGCATAAAACAAAGAGATATTTATATCTTTCTAACGAAGAGAATCAACAAAGAAGTTTATAATTTTTTAAACTCTTCCCCCGTTTTGATTAGCGAATATATTGCCTTCTAGAAAGTTTAGTTTGTTCATTATGTGATAGATGTAAACATTTCCAAGTGATGTAAGCTAATTCTAATACGCAGGATATATTTGTAATATTATTAATACTTTTATACACGTACACGATTCAAAGATTATTCGTGATTTAATAGAACCCATGATAGTTGTCTTTCCTCTGTAGAAAGTAAAAACATTGAAAACTAATACGCATCCAATTATAGGTAAATCTCCGTATATCTGCGAATACATTTAATCACTAGTGTTATACAGCGATACATATTCGAATTGGCTCAGATTAAAGAGAAATTTATCACAGATGAAAGATAGAAATGCTTTGACGGATGCATATTATGTTGGAAACTAGGGCTGCGTATGACACATCTCAACGCGAGCGAAAGAAACATTCGAACATACAGATGTATAAGTAGTAGAATTCTAAAAACAGGTCTACGAATAGCCTTTTATCCTCCTTTTAATTTTACTCTTATAAATCGATTATGCACATCGTTAATAATACGGTACGATACATGTTCTTAGGAACAGTAATTGAATACAATTAAATACGCTTGTTTCCCTTTGTAACGCACCTTCACAACATTTCTTTTCTGAGATTGTGAGGTATGTATGTACACGTCAAATGTTTTACTTTAATAAATATATCAAACAACACACAATGTATATTTTGAAAAGGAATACCTTACGATAATACGTCCTATTATTATGTGCCGATTACACGCAGTAATTTGAGATTGTCGAGAGATTCTGTATATTAATAATCTTACTGCGGAAGTATTTGACAAATATACATAAGATATAACATACCGACGGAATTATCTATATATTGAAAAAGTGTTGAGAGAGTGTGCGATAAAAATAACAGATATCTAATAAACATGGAAATTATAGAGATTACTTCAAAAACCATCAATTTCAAAGAAATATCTACGATCGGTATCTAAACGTCGCCATTCTCTATAATTTTCTCCTTTGTTTTATACACAGAAGGAATTCTTACATTCAGATTTCTAATAAATTGTTTATATATATAATAACTTATTAAATATATATATGCTAAATTAACTAAATGGCATAAAGTTAATCGTTGTAATACTATTCAAGTATTGTATTCCTGATTAATTTCTACTTCTCAAAGAGTCATTACATTGTATAAATTAAAAAAAAGTCATCACAAATGTAATATTACTCTACATAATACTGTATTACATTATTGCAACAATGTAATCTGTTAAAACGTGACATGTTCCGTTGCACGATTTTATAGAACAGTAACATAATCTTCATATAATTGTACAGGAAAAAACACAGTTATTGCATTCGAGAATCGGGTTCGTACTCCTAAATTAAAGATCAGAGAGGGACAATACGTAATGCGATTTACGTCATTCATAATGTACATACATGATGTACATATATAATGTATATAAAGAGAGACCTGTATGTTTATAATATAAATCTTATATGCAATAGACAAAGAATATATTCTCTTTCTCTCTCTTTCTCTCTCTCTCTCTCTCTCTCTCTTTCTCTCTCTCTGTATGTGTGTGTGTCTGTGCATATAAAATTAGTGACAGGCACTTTTGTGCTTTCAGATATACATTGGAATGTAAACGAATCCCTTTAATGTTTTAAACAACTTGATTTGATTACACTTTGTTTTACTTCACTGGCTAATTGTTTGTATACTATTCGGTTAATTGTTATAATTCGTCGTGAACTAAATATATCACTACATTCATCTATTTATCCATCTATTATAACCGTGAGGTTTATCATGAAGTATAATACTAGAACCACAATATACTATACGAATATTTTCCGTTACACGAAAATTGAAGAGATTCTTTAATTTTATCACATGAATGAAACAAAGACGAGCGAGCAAACGCGAGTATACACAACTATATCGAGAAACGAGAAAACTGCGTCTCTTTATATATATTATCACCATGAGCAATAATATTTGATTATTATGCTGATGGAAAATTATACAATTAGTAGTACAGATATATATGTATACTTCGTTTACAAACGATTACACGACAATCAATTATTGGAGGACATTTGTTAAAGATTATGAAAATAGATAGATCTTTCATTTCTGTCGACAAGGAAAAATTCAAGGCTGGTTTCACGAAGAAAAGAGAGCAAGACACTCACATAAGACGTCGAAGCTTGGACCTGCGGAACCGTGGAAGGAAAAAAAAGATTCTTATTTATCATATACGTACCACGACAACTCTGGTGAACTCGTTACAACTACTGTAGCATACATTTTGCATTTCTAGCTCTTCTTAATTATCGTGTTTATTGCCATAAGGAGATATTCTATATGTATATAGAATCACTTTCATATACATCTTGGCCCAGGCATTGCTTTTCGAAATAATTATCAAGGTCAATCAAATCGAAAGTATCAACAGCTATCTGAGTATATTAGTCACAAGAGTTTCGCGTCTATTATAGTGCATATCGCATATGTCAGTAGATCGATGAAGTGGAAGTTAAAGATTAAATATAATCAAAATTAGCGAGTCAATCACAAAATGAAGATGTAGACAAATTGGTCTTCACGTAAGAGACGCTTCTAAAGATGCGGAACTCGCAGATTTAAGATACCTATGCCGTAAGTAAGATCCGTCGATTTCGAATAATATGATAGTGTTGCTAAATATACCCGAGTGACGTTGTAGAGAATTATTCTAGTGATAGTATGTGATATAAAAAGTCTTTGCTATTTTATATAATAAATATCTACTTCGAATATGCATGTGTGCGAGTTTATAAGACTTTTTTGTCATGGACTTTAAGACGCTTTAATACGATAGCGAAGTAAAATTCGTCCCCTTGGGGGATGCACCTCGTATTTTGTACTGTATGTGTGTGTGTGTGTGTATGTATGGGAGAAGGAAAGGTATGTATACTGGGTGATCCGAAATTCCCGCATTCGGAATACAGGACATGATACTTTATGCTAAAACAAACAACTTTTTCCTTTAGCAAAATTGCGTCCGACAAGTAGTTTTTGCAGGAGAGCGTGTTAAATTTAACGAATAAGCGCTCTTGTCTATGTAACGCTCAGGGCCAGCGTGCGCGCCTCACTCGCGTGTACCTAGTCCGTGATTAGTAATCATAAGTAGTGTCTTTTAAGACGCTCATACGGTTCTCTTGTGATTAGTTTACGACATTTTAAGACTGTGCTTAAGACAATTTTAAATAATAAGAATCAATTATGAACAATACCGGGATTTGACCTACTTTCATATTTGTACTGATTAAATAATGAAAAGTTAATAAAATAAGTACTGCCTTTATTTCTTACGTAATAAATGAATAAAATATTGTCTGCACAATATTATCTGAAAATAAAGACAAATGTAAATAGTAATATGTTTTGCGAGCTGTGAACGTTCTATTATTCCAAATACTGCACAATTACGTGATAATTAAATAGTGATCATTAAATTTAAAGAATAATTTACTGATCAAGCGTATATATAGGAGTATACATATTTGTAACAGTGATTACAAGTAAAATATTCGAATTAACGTCTTTTAAGAACTCTCTTTTTATTTCTTTATAATAGAAAATACAAAGAACTTATTTAAAATTCAAATTGTGTCATATACTCACGTCACGGTTTACATTTATTTATTATTGCTTATGCACATTAGCCTTTCATTATGTACTTTCCTTACATGTTTCGTTTATTGCGAGGAATATTGCTATAGCCTCAATGATTTATTTTCTTAATCAACTTGACCATTCAGGCTATAGCAATATTCCTCGCAATAATCATAACATATAAGGAAAGTATGTATTGAAAGGCTAACGTGCATAAGCAATAATAAGTAAACGTAGACCGTGACGTGAGTATATCACACAATTTGAATTTTAAATAAGTTCTTTATATTTTCTATTATAAAGAAACAAAAAGAGAGCTCTTAAAAGACGTTAATTCAAATATTTTACTTGTAATCACTGTTACAAATATGTATACTCCTATGTATACACTTGATCAGTAAATTATTCTTTAAATTTAATGATCACTATTTAATTATCACGTAATTGTGCAATATTTGGAACAATAGAACGCTCACAGCTCGCAAAACATATTACTATTTACATTTGTTTTTATTTTCAGATAATATTGTGCAATCAGACAATATTTTATTCATTTATTATGTAAAAAATAAAGACAGTACTTATTTTATTAACTTTTCATTATTTAATCAGTACAAATATGAAAGCAGGTCAAATCCCGGTATTGTTCATAATTGATTCTTATTATTTAAAATTGTCTTAAGCACAGTCTTAAAATGTCGTAAACTAATCACAAGAGAACCGTATGAGCGTCTTAAAAGACACTACTTATGATTACTAATCACGGACTAGGTACACGCGAGTGAGGCGCGCACGCTGGCCCTGAGCGTTACATAGACAAGAGCGCTTATTCGTTAAATTTAACACGCTCTCCTGCAAAAACTACTTGTCGGACGCAATTTTGCTAAAGGAAAAAGTTGTTTGTTTTAGCATAAAGTATCATGTCCTGTATTCCGAATGCGGGAATTTCGGATCATCCAGTATATTATAAATAGAATTGCATTGTAAATTTGTTGAGAAATTAACAAATTTATCTTTTTGTTTATCTTGTGTGATTTTTAATATAGAATGTTTTTGGCACAGACGAAGTGATTTCTCCCTTCGAACAACACACTGGAAGGACTCGCCGCGAGGAATATTTATCATGGCGAGCATTGTCCTCTTTTATAGTATATCCATAAAGACGTTTGTCTCAGAAGTCGAAGTAATTAACATTTGGGCAAGAATATAACAATGTCCCTACTTATCTCTTATGTGAATCTATCAGTTTTAAGAAAGTTCTCTTTGTCGAATATTTAATTTTAAGTAATCTTTCCTTTCTCTCTCTCTCTCTCTCTCTCTCTCTCTCTCTCTCTCTACCTCTTAAATAAGTTATACTTGTATATTTCTCTTATTTGGAATGATATTTAAGAGTATGTCCTCACTCTCAAGAGACATGTTTACTCAACGTTTACATTACGCATTGCTATACGTAGCAAACGCGACGCACGACTTAGTTGTTGAGGTCATTGATGGCTTGCAAGATGCGTTTAACATGCCCCACTTTGGAGATACCCAGCTCCTTGAGATCGCGGCGGGCTAGTGTCAGCAACTCCCTACCTCGTATATCATGCGACACAAATTTGTCCGCGTATTCGCCCAATTGCAGATTCTCTAACCAGGTGCACACCTCCTGTACGCCCCAAGTAGTGACTTGTTCCTTCGCTGGATGGGTACCCGAGTTGCCAGTGAAGCGACGGAACTTTAACCAGAACAACCCTCGATGACGATTTTTTTTATCACCCTGCAGACCCAGAGTTCGAGAGGTCGGTTAGTGAACGGTTAGTCAGATTAGTATACGCGTGTAAGCGGTACGCTCTATTTTAACGACATACGTTAGAGACATGCATAATCATATGCAGGTGGACAGATTGCACTCAGGATGTGATAACGACTCGTCAAGCACACAAAGTAGCTCATTTTCTCACTCGCGTCTAACGTTGACCATTCGTCATCGCGGTCGCGCGCGGTCGAATGATGAGAGATTCGCCGTTCCGTAAAATATCGCGTGAGTACCGCAAATACGCATTCGGTGTACATCAATAAAACAATGTCAGATATTCCATTGTTTATTATTATTGCTATACTTTAGCGAGATTCATATATATAGATATATATACATCCGCTACAAAGTACATCTTTCATGAGGCTCATATAAAGATCACGAAAGTTCCCCTCTCTCGTTGTTAAGTGCTAATTAAAACAGATCGTGCAACGATCCCTTGATTCTTACGAAATCATGAGAGACATAGCGCCAATGAAAGCAAAGGTTAAATTGCGTGTTGTTCAAGTGCATACTCGGACGTGTTACTTCTGCTATGTAATGTAACTGAACAGGTACAACATCGCCAAGTAATTGTCACTGGTCGCGTCTCCATTTTGTGTAAACTATAAGTAGAACCAAGCGTGTGAAATAAACGAAAACATCTAAACGGCACAATCCGCTTGTCAGCAGATGTAACATGCACGTACGATACATACAGACGTGTACAAAAATAATCCGCACCATATTTCGCTACATCGCAAAAACTAAGTCTCTAACGCTATTTCTATTTACTAATGTCATAAGCATTAAGACTTAAAAGCATATTACCAGCACTGGGATTGAGCACTCAATCAATCCGAAATAAAGCATAGGATAATTTATTAATTATCATTTGAAAACAACATTTATGCATAATGAATTATGATGTTCTCTCAAAGAAGGTTGTCAATTTTCGTGTCTGATGTATGGAAGAGAGGTGCTTTCATAATATTGCATATCTCATGACTTTATCCAAATAGTTTGCCATCACAGTTTACTTTTACATTTACTTCTCTCGGAATATATACACATATAGCAGCGAGACGAGATGGAATATCGAGTACGAGTAAACATGTTATGGTATGATAAAACAACGTGTAACTGTATCGTTCCACTTCGCCCATCGGTATGCTAATACGTTTCGCTCGAATATTTAATAACCTCGTGAAAAATAGCCAAGATTACACAATATACTATAGGTATAAATGGATCAAACACGTCATATTTTTATCCAAAATCCATGTGAATTTAACTTGCATTCAAATTGTGTTTAAATATTTAGGAAATATTCCTGCATATACTGGTTATTTCTTTCTTTTTTTTTTTTTCATAGCAAGTATACTTGCTTATCTTCCTTCCTCCCCATCGATTAAACGTATAATAAGTATCACAAGATGTATAAACTTTATCACAATGCAGAATACATGACAGAGAAACGTGAAAATAGTTAATCTCATAATTTGTAGTTTAAAGATTTGACTTTAAACAGCATTACATAGATCATAAGAAGGAACTATACCTGATCGTCCACAGCAGCGTTTTGCAAGTAAACCAGCCCTGTACCTCTCTCGTCAAAAATGCATTTTCGCAATTCCTGTTCCATACTGGCTAGAGCCAGGGATAATTTGTTTTCCAAGTCCTCTCGTAGCCTCTGCTTATACGCACAATAAAACGTTAGTTCAATGAGTAAAAAAGACAAGAAACAGTTCCTCGATACAAGAGCTTAAGGAACGTAAAAAGACGTTCAATATACTTACTAAATTATGGGCCTTGTCGCGTAGCAATTCGCAAGATTCTTCGTACAATTGCCGCGCACTTGATACCAATTCGGTTACCATAGGTCTTAAGCCTACCTGATAATTAAGAATAAGGAAAATAAAGCAAAGTCAGAGATCAGAGAGTCTCGATCTCATAATATATATTTCCGATACGTCTCTGACGACACAGTATTTCACCTACCCCTTGCAAGATTTTACCATCCGGATGCACTTGCTCGAGCGCTTGGGCCGTTCGCGAGGCAACCTGGTACAAATCTGCTTCCAGGCTTGGGTGCGATATAATCAGTAGTTTTACCCACTTAACCAAGGTGGTCACAGCTTCGATGAAGCTGAACAGAATGTTGAGTTCCTCATCGTTCAGCTGCGAAGGCTTACTGCTTATTTGCAATTGTACTCTAGACTGCGACGTATTGCTCAGGATAGAGGTCGACTGAGTTACGGCGCTCAGCGTGTTACGTTGCTTCTCTTCCCACGCTCTTAACGATGTCTCGAGAGCCTGTGATGTGAAATGTTTTTCAACGATCCGCAAATTAATCGATAAACGAGAGATGGATACTCACCCTATTTCTATATAGCATCTGCATGCGATTCTTGTGTATAATCCTTATGATTCCGGGTGGTTGAATCCAAGCCTCACCATCCACTTGTATAGGGACACCTTCTTCTCCCAGAATATTAATCTGGACTGTCTGGCATTGAGCTATCCTATGATGTTGCAAGTTAATGAGCCGCGACGCGGCCATTTGAACGGATCCGAAGACTGCCACCACTTCCAATATGCGATCGTCAAACGACGGTGCCAAAAACAGATCTCCCTCTTTTGTACCACCCCAGAAATTCGTGCCGCCCATAAAGCTGTTAATAACACAAAATTGTCATATGGAATTATCGAGAATCGCGCGTAAATATATTTATGACCCTTTCACCGGAATACCTTGGTATATTTAACACGACGATTCCTTGTAGAGACGGCAATGGTATCCTTTGACCGTCGCATTCCAATTGAACTCTCTGTTCGAGATTCTTGTAGGTTTTCTGCAGCCACTGTTTAGATCCCAGAACGCCATACCACATATAATTCTTCGCGCGCGATCGGCACTTCTCAGGATGTTCTTCTCGTTTATGGTGGAAGTCAAGACTGATTTTCGCGTCTATGCCAATCCCGAAGTAGTTGTTCATGACACATCGTTCGAAGTAACCTTCCCTGGTGATGCAGAATAAATAAAATTTATATATATATATATATATATATATATATAAGTACATATTAATTATAGAATGTTGTGCGTACATGCAACTTACATCAACGACTCGTCTGGATCCATCAATGGTGATACTGCTGCACAGAGAGCATCTGCGTTCGCCAGCAATGCCTGACTGATCAAACCAGCTCCACCGCTAACATCTATAGGCATTTAAGGAAGAAGACACATTAGCAACTATACGTCGCACAGAAGAGAGTTTATTACAGAAGAGAGTAATATTGGATCGTCTGATTTCCGGCTTACTTGGCCACATGGGTAGTCGGACCAAAGGATTTATTATCGGGAGCTTCTTCACATCCTCCGTCTTATCCATCGACTTTGCTCTCTCATTGCGCAAACTCACACTAGAACCACCCAAACGAGCAGTGGTCGCTGCCAACGAAACAACTTCTGATGCCTTCAGCAAACTGCCACTGCTGATACGTCGTGTAGCTTGCGGAGAAAAGCCTGATTCGGGCAGCTCCACGCTCACTATGCATCAAAAAGGACATATTTATTTAACGTATCGAGATAAATTATTGTCACAATAATAACTGCAATAATAGCTCAGCTAGCAGTACTCACGTCTTTCCATACTGCTACCACTGTATTGTTTTATGTGCGGATCTAGCTTGTAATCCAAATTAAGCTCCTGATGACTCTCGATCGACATCGATGGACTTGGCGGATCGATGATCACGCTAATCGTCGGCGGAAAATTCGTGGCGTACTTTTCATTGGCCGGCGTATTGTCCGACGAGACGGTAAAGCAGCATACCGGGCTCAGCAAATCGGACGTCTTTTCTTTTTCAACACTTGGAAACCTGTTCGGTGCAGGAATCACATTCGTTTCCACGGGATGCATCGACTTGTTTCCTGTCACGCGCACACAAGTTGCCAGGCCGTCCGTTTTGTATTTATTTAGCATTCCCTGCTAACAGAAACAAGGTGCATCGATTTATACATTTTAATTCAGAGCACACAAAGCCAACAAGTGTTGACCACCTTCGATTATTAATTTCAGAAAAGAGATAAGAATCTCAAAGTACCTCAATATTTACTTCTCTGTCCGTCTTCATATTTTTTGGGCCTTTTTTGAACGACTGTCTCGCGATGTCGTTTCCCTCGACGAACTGAGCCAAGCTGCAAAATTTCTGCGGTTTCTCGATCTCCTCGGACTCCAAACATTCTCTAACAGAATCATACCTTTCGGCCAATATCGTACTGATCAAGTCCTGTCCGAGGGAACTCAGATCGTCTATCACGCTTTCCGAGTGTTGAGTCTCGCTGGAGAACATGTCGGAATTATCCGGCGAATCGATATGCCCAATCTCAGAACTGTCCGACTTTTTCGACGAATCAAATATATCGCTGTCTATATGACCTGGAAAGCGTGAGAGGAATTATCTAATAATTACGTGTGTAAGGCATGTACAAAGAAAGCGCTTCTACGATATCATCGCAGAAAGGTCTGCCTACCGATTTCGCTCTCGCTGTTTCGAATGGTGCAGCTTCGCGAGTCCAACGTGTCGGAGACTATACTATCCGTACTGACTATGCTGTTGGTACAGCTACCTCTCGGCTCTAGCTTAGACTGTGAAAGTTTTTGTGCTTGAGGTTCTGGCGAGATATTTCTAGAATGAAGCGAATCTGTGTCAGGAGAAACGATAGTGTCTTGCATAGTCGCGTCGTCTGACGGTGTACTTGTGTCTAAGGTAGTCCTCGTCACCGTCACTGGGATGTCGGAAGAGGCTTCCACTTGCGTGGGTTCAGATGTCAGAAGGTTATCGCTAACAGCTGCCTGCATTCCCGACTGACCGCCGGCAATTTGCGCTGCAGGCTCGTCAAAAGTGAAAGCTCTATAATTAAACACCGACATACGTGTAACTGTTGGAATCACATCGAACACGAATGTACTATGCCGTGTGCGAGTCGAATCGACTAAAGTTACCCTTGCATTATGTTCTCGCTGTTTCTTCTGCTGTCAGCGAACCCGTCAGGCGCAGGAAGAGTCAACAACTCTTCGGGTTGTGAATCTCTCCTTAAATCTGGCATTGGGCTTAAAGATGCCACATTAGGAGTAGGACTGGGACATGGTGAAATATCCACGCTACTGGCGGAGTCTATGGTGGGCATTAAATTGAAGTTGTCAATTTGGTCTGTTTGAAATCCGGGGATATCCAATTGCTGTTTTTTACCTAAATTATGCATTATGAGATGACCAGTTTCGAGGAAAACGTTGCGCAAGTTTTGTCGTTACGGTACAGATGACTCACCTGTTGAATTTATTGGAGAAATATCGGATGTTACAGTGATGTTTGGCATCTTACTACCTTGCTTTTCGTCCGAGGGATTATTCTGTTCATCAACAGCCGTTTCTGTATGTTCCACTAATCTTCTAATAGCTCTTTTTAGACTATTTGCTCTAAAAAAAAGATAATGCAGAAATATATATTTTGCAATTTTAATACATAATATATAAAATGTATTCACCCCCCTTACCTAGACATCACAGCATCCTTCTCCATGTAACATTTTCTTCTTTGGACTCTCTTGAGATTTGTCATTTCCTTCTCTGGCTTTTCTAAAGCACCTTTCTCTTGATCACTGCTCAAAGTATTGGTTCTTACGGTACCAACATCTGTTTCTTCCCCATTATCTGACAAGTAGCTCTCTTCTTCCGATAATGTTTGCAACAATAGATCAAGTTTTTGTTGAAGTATCTCACATTTTTCTCCCAGTTGTTGGTCCCCTGTGTTTAGACTGGCTTCCAGTATATGCGTTGCAAAATCTTTTACTGTTTCGCACAAAACTCTGTGAAGAAAGATCTCAGTTCAATGTGCCGAAACTCACAAAGAGTTGATATAAAATCTTGCAACCGACATGAAATTACTCACTTGGCACTAGATATAACTACGTTGTCTTGATCAGATTGTAAAATGTTTGTTATGTGAGCAAGAACGCTGTCTTCGTATTGGTGAGCTACGCTCAACTTTATAGCCGGGTCAGGCTGATGCAAAGTCACTTTGTGACATGGCAGAGATATGCTGCGTTCGAATGTCATAACGCTCCATCGATCCAGCATTTTCGTGCCCGCTTTTTCGTACTTTTCCAGTAACTGAGGTAAATGTGTATCATCGTCGCACGATGCACCCCAGCCTAACACACGCGCTAAGTCATTTCCTGTTCCTAAAGGCAGTACTCCAACTTGGCATTGCTTCTGCAAGTTTTAGAAGAAAAAAAAAGTTTCTACTATGAGAAATACGTATAATAAGGTATTTAGTTGCATATATTAATATTTTTTATAGAATGTTCCAGATATTTAGATTAGTCATGCGAGTTTACACTTACCGTCTGTAAACAAAGTTAACGAAGCTTCGCATACATAAAGAAGCCTAAAGCACACACACCAGTTTCATCTGGAATAAAATCATAAAAGAGACACGCCATGCAGTTTATAATCGGAAATTTGAAGAAGTTAATGGCATTGGCTGCAATATTTTTCATGGATCTGAATATTGGTACAGCTTGTGTAAGTAGTATGTCAATGTAAACATTAAAGATCGGTCTACATGTTAATAATTTGTGAATGGCGCTTTTTCTGAATCATGAGTTCGATAATAATTGCGTGCATACTGCAATTACAGCAGAATTTAATTTCATGCCCATATAACGCAAAAAATCGTCGTATATGCTAAGCCGCTGCGCAAAGAAAGAGATATGCTCGATATCAGCGCAGCCTAGAGCGCAATTAGACTTGAGAAAAAATTATAAAGACTAAAGATCCATGCTGATGAAGTAAGTAAAGTAGTTAGAATTTATGTAGGGTACGTAGGTTTACTCACGTGCATTCCTAGTCGATCGATTTCCGAAAGCACCCAACCTACGGATCCGTCTCCGCTGCACACCAGAATCCGAAAAGGATCAAAGTGACGGAACAGTCTTAATCTGGGTTAAAAGAAAAAAACAGAACACGATTTATATATTCGTTGTATTTACAGACCGGTCAGAAGGGAGTTCACATTTAAACAGAGATTTTCAATTGATCGACACTCGCATCGTGTGAGGATTCACTTACCCTGGACCTGGTCCTCCTTTTATAAGGTCGAACACTTGTGCGGGATTTAGTAATTGTTTAAATCTCCTAAGAAACTTAACACCTTGATTGTCACCAGATTTACTGTTTACAAATACTAAAAGTGGACTGCATCCCGTAGGTCTAACTGCTTCCCAAGCTTCGTCGCTACCTGATAATTTTACACAGCACATGACTATATAAACGTCGCGGGAGTTCTATATACTGTACAAGCTCAATGTTTACCTATACTATGCAAAGCCGTAGGAGGCACTACACTCAGTTTAGCTGGTCCTAGTGGACATCTGATACTTATGGCAGGCCTGCATGCTGTGTGTACAGTTGCTCTGCACCATAAACACCGCCAGTCTTGAAGCCTGAATGATGATGAATGATACATTGAACGATATTATAACTTGTCTCTATTGATTTCTTGAAATCAATAGAGTGAAAATTAGATTGTAATATGAATATACCTAAGTACAGAGCCACAAGTCTTTTCACAGACAAGACATTTTGAGGATACTGGCAAATTTCCTTCCATCCACTGATGTGGCATTGTGATGTTCTGCAACAAAAATTGATATATGCTGAACCAAGTCACAGATAAAGTGGACATATATATATATATATATATATATATATATATATATATATATATATATTTATGCATACCCCATCTTGGTCCTCAATAATATCTTTTCCAATGGATGCTAAAGTGGTCCACTTGCAATTATTTATTGCTTTTGCGCTACATCTCTTGTGCACTTTATATTTACATACTTCACAACTTAAACCATGGGAAGTAACACCTATACAATAATATTTCACACATTATGTACTTGTAATTGACATTGTTAAATAACAAATTGCACAAATAATTTGTCTATATATTGTTGAGATAACTATAAAAATACAATATATTTTCCTTACCATGCAGAGCATCTCTGCAGACATTGCAATATGTAGGTCTGGCATGACTAGTTGCATACCATTGATGATTACCTCCTAATAACTCGGCAGTTCCAGGATCAACCTGAGAACGACTTTCTGTCGTTGTTCTTAATGCTTGTAACCATTCCTCCATGTCTTGTCTGTTTTCACCACAGAGAACCAATGATCTAAGGGGAGTTATCACCTAAAACATAAAAAAAAATATTATGTAATAATACTTCAGTAATGTCATATTAAAAAAAGAATGTTATAATATATTAAATCCTACAAGAAAAATGTAAATTTATGATATAAACTAAGGCTTTATTTCTCTGTGTATACTCTGTGTTCACAGAGTGTATTGGTAAGACAACAAATCAAAAGTACTGATGACTGAAACATGCAAGCAACAGCCTTTGAAACAACAGGTGAATTAAAACAGGCCACTGCCGCCTTCTCTATCTCACGAGCGAGAGAATCACTTTCGTTCACGGTGAAAAGCAGCAGCAGCAGCGGAAGATCTTGGAGAAGAGCGACATCGATGGAATTTGGGTGCTCACACGTGTATGTGTGTGTGTGTGTGTATGTGTGCACGTTGATACCGAACCAATAGTCTACCGACTATAAACAATCGATAATGGTATTGCTAACAGACCGAGATAGCTAAAGAGCGATTATTATGCAGCTAAGGACCTAATCGCAATCCAACAGATATAGCGGCGTACCCGCATCAGTCCCGCGGGCCTAACCTTGGCAACGACGATACCTTGAATCGGGAGCGGGTTCTCCGCTGCTTTGACGACATTTGAACTGCGACTCGCGACGCGGAGGCGGCGGCGGCGGTGGCGGCAACGGCGACGGCGACGGCGACGAAAACGATGACGACGGCGGAGACATTCGCACAGCAAATGTACACGAAAACCCGCGCTTCAATTTACCGTCCCGACGAGCATTTGACGATTCAACGAGCCTCCCGTCGCCGCGACATGTCATACATGCGCACTTGTGACGTAGCGCGTCCGAGAGGACCAGAGACGACTCGCAAACAGCGTTTGCCGCAGCATCGGCGACGGTGGCTGCGGCTGCGATAGCGGCAGCAGCCGACGCGACGCATCGGCTCGCCCGTCTTTCTCTTAGCTTTTGTAGCCGCCAACGTCATCGCCTCTGTTACGAGCAACATGCCCTATTTCCCATGGCGCATGTCACGGCGCGGCGTTCCGCGTCGCTTAGAAATAAATATCGCGCGCCGGAATCGGCAAGTGTGTATTGTGTTCCCAGAATGTTCGTCGCTCGTGACACACACGCGCGATACCACGTGCGCCATTGTGTCGCCTTGACGGCCAAGATGACGCCGACGACCGCGACGCCGATGCGCTTTCGCGCCGTCTCGAGTCAAGTCACGAGGGAGTTGAGGCGCGATGCAACACAGCTGTCGATATACCGACGTAGCATGGCTGTCAATAGCCAGCTGGCCGGCTGGCTGACTGGCTGGGGACAGCTGGCTGTGCATCCGGACGCGTTATCGCGCGTGCTTATCCACCGCGAGAACAAAGCCTCGCGCCCTCGCACTGTCACGCGCTGAAGCGAGCCACACGTGTTGATCCTTATTGACAAGAGGACACAGAGTGTATCGAAGTTACGTACGCTATCTCCGCGGATAGACGTGCCCTCCGTGGCGAAGTTTTCGAAAATTCTCTCGCGATATTCCTTGAGAGACTCGCCAGTCGGATCCAGCTGTCTTCTCTTCGTGATTTTTGTGATTCGAGAGATATTATAAGAGAAATACTGTTTCCTACACGTATTCGTTTTTCTTCGTAAATTTTGCGAGTCGCGATCAGCCACAATTGCCATTTCAAATGTAAAGTCGATCGCGCAATCGATCGCATAATCGATCGCGCGATCGACCGTGCGCGAGTCGATCGGTCTTTGAATTTTTCCGCTTTTGCACCCCTGAGTTTTTGGCCAAATGATTGCAATAATTTTTATCGTCGAGAGTAAAACGGAGAGGAGAGACTGGTGATTGAATATATTCGTTTATATGATGAAACGTGATCACATTTATCTGTCGCGACATTTCTAGAATGTATCGTGTGGCTCTTGTGCAGTACCTAGGAGGGTGAATAACACCCCTGAACAAGGGAGAACGCCTCTTTAGCTCAGTGGTAGAGCACTGGTCTCGTAAACCAGGGGTCGTGAGTTCAAACCTCACAGGAGGCAATATCTTTTTGTTACTGGGAAACAATATATTTTTAACACGGTTACTATTACATATACCCAGGTAGAACAGAAAGTCATGATGACATCAAAATGACGTCAAAGTGATGAGGAAAACTAGTTTTCTCATCATAATTCGGTCATTATGCCCGTCATTTTGATGTCATTTTGTTGTCATCACGATTTTTGTTCTGCCTGGGTATATATATATATATATATATATATATATATACATATGTACACACACATATATATATATGGCATAAAACATTAAATTATTATTTTAAACTTTAAAAATTATTTTCTATATTTTCTACACAAATTTTTAAAAATTTTCAAATATCCATAATCGTGCGCACAAAAATTGTTTGCGGAAGATATACGCACGAGTTTTTTTAATAACAAATAAAATACTATAAAATCGTGATATGCGAACGCCGAGGGGGCTTACGACAACGTGAGCTTGCTTCAGCAAACTATTATTTCATCAAACAAGACCGATTGATTTTTTTGCTCTTTTTATTAGCAGGCTCGACCCCAACGATGATTCCGACAGCCGTCCCTCGGGTCTCGTGTTTATTACGAGGGCGACTTCGCGAGTTCGCGAGTCGAACGAGTCGGTGCAAATAACGATCCGTGAATTACTGACGACGTATAGGTGGACTCGGCGACACCCCCTATCGTGTATTTACTTCTTTATCGTCGCAGCCACTTTTCAACCCTGCGAGTGGGTTGGTATGTATATATACGTAAGTAAATAGGCAGACAGGCTCATCGCGACCATCAAGTAGGACAAAAAAAGTACTTCATCACACACACGCGCGCGCGCACGCACGCACGTGTGAGTGTGCATGCTACGAAGCAACATTGAATGCCAGGTGAGATTGAGTCTGTCGGTCGCGGCCTTTTGTGTTATCCATTCGTCGCTTTTATTCTGTGGATCGCGATATCGAGAATTCGAACGAGACGAGGCGGCCTTTGTGCATACAGCCGACCTATTCATCGCGCAAAAAAAGAAACGCGGTCATTTCGTCACGTCTATCCTTTTCTTCGCTCTCTTTTTTTTCTCGCTGTCCCTACGAGTGAATGTAATCGGCATATTATTCTTTTCGCGGAAATCACGCGGTACACAACGTATGCGAATTTTCTCAAGTGCGATACAAATCGCGTCGCGCTCACACGTGTCTCATTGACACTCGTGAAACGCAGCTTTAAAAAGCCATGTAAATGCATGTAGATTTTCTCTTCGATAAGCGAGTTTAACTGATCTCCTACGAAATTGTCGGTTTCGAAGTGTTCGAGTGCCATATTGTTCGTAGCAATCCAGCCATATAATAAAGACGACACAAAAACAATGGATAATTTCGGCAGCGATATTGTGGATTCGCGATAACGATACACGTCTTGCTTTGTGTGCAACAACCACGGCGGAGAATAACTTCTGATTACTTAAAGCGCGAGGAATCATTGCTACAATTAAATATTGCAAATGATGTTTCTTAGAGATTTGAGGAGATATCAACGAGCAAAGCTAGCGAAACACAAAGTACGGGGTATCGGTACTGTACCTGGCGCAATGGCTCAATTTTTCTTGTTAGATTCCTTCAAACACCAGCCCTCACTGTTTCATCGATATTAAAAAAGCAAAGGCGCAATACGACGCGATTATTACTTGTACAATATAAACGCGAACCGCGTCGCGTAAAGCGCTTTAATGTCGCAAATTATCTTGTATCTTGAGAGCTCGTGCGAATGAAATTGAAAGGCAAGATAAAGCGAGGCAATAAGTGTTAATGGACTTTCTCTGTAGCGCGCGACGCGAATATTCATCCTTTCCTATAAAGGCAAGAACATGGTAGATATAGTTAAATCATGAAGACCGAAGAAGACAGAGAAGCTATTCTTCGCAGCTCCTTTCCGCGCGTCTCTCATCGTAATACATCGATTAGTCATCGTCATCGGACAACTCGACCGATTAATCATCAGTTCAGCGTTAGACACGCGACTGATTACCTTTCGTATCTATATGCGTACATCCCTTAAAGTCTATCCCTGAAATTGTGGCCGACTCGAGGACAAGAGGGAAAAAAGGAAAGAGAGAGAGAGAGAGAGAGAGAGAGAGAGAGAGAGAGAGCGCCCGAGTTTGCAGAAATAAAAATTACACGATTCAACCGAAGGGAATATTTCTCCCAGTCCTGAAATTAATTTTCTCGGGTTTCCGAAGAAGTGGGTCAGTCAGACGACCGCTTCCGCAACCAAACTCTTCGCTTTCGCTTCGGTGAGGAGAATGTGAGTGCTTCATACCCTCGGACTACCGGAATTTTAATCTGTTAACAGTTTTAATCACTAATCGTGCGGCTCACGGTCTCGGGTGCAAGATAATGGAAACATTTAGACACGCACTTTCAACCAGGTCAGACGCGACGCAAGTACTCTCTACTGGGTCAGATATGACGCGGGTACACTCTACTTACTAAGTGCGCAATTAAGTATCCGGGTTTCTTTGATCAATGAAAAATGGAAAATTTCAAGAGAAATACAAAAAATGGTTTATTCAAAGTATCGTTTCTCGCTAGCTACACATTCTTGCTATCTCTCTGGCAATACATGAATATCGCGACGATAAAACGACGAGTCTTTGGATCGAAACCATTCATCCAACCAATTTTGCACTTCTTCGAAATTGGCCAAGTGTTGCCCAGCCAAGCCATGCGCTATCGACCGGAACAAGTGATAATCGGAAGAGGCCAGGTCTGGTGAATACGGCGGGTACTTCAGCTGCACTTTTTTTCAAGTTAAAGCAGAAAAGCAAAGCTTCCCGCAAATGCTTATTTGGCACAAAACTCGACATCTTCGTTGTTAGAAAAAATATTTTTGCGTTGCGATATGTGTTGATATTACGACTGGTTATTGTTAACAGATGTCCAAGCTATAAAAAAACACAACTTCAGACATGTATGTCGACTACATGTGTCGTTAGCGCCATCCATGTGTGAAACCCGGAAACTTAGTTGCGCATCTAGTAATTCGTTTAGCGTGTAGCTCAGCGTGAACCTTCTCTCTCTCTCTCTCTCTCTCTCTCTCTCTCTCTCTCTCTCTCTCTCTCTCTCTCTCTCTCTCTCATGTACACGCATATGCGACACCTGATATCGTCGATCGATATGTCCTTTTTGTAAAAAAATATCAGTAAAATTTTACGCGACAGCGAAATAACTGAATGAGTCCCGTCAAAACAATCGGTCTCATGTTACCAGATATATACAACATATTATTTTCAGTTTCGGCTTACATAAAGCACCGATCGCGGAATTTTGACCGCGTGTATACGCGTTTAGATATTTTGAGCTTCTCTCAGTTCCCCTGTAAAACAATCACGCCGGCTCCGCTTGCAATCCTTCGCGTGACTGTTTTTTTTTTGCCGACAATTTGGAGCTCACGTCAAGACGATGTATCGTCCGTCTGTGTGCTATCGCGGCGTCCAAATACGTCTCAATTCTCCCTTCAACAATTTCTCCTCCAACAGCTGAAAAGATCCGTAGAGTGTCCCGCGCGTCATGAGAACGTTGATGCCGATTTGTGCCGCATGTGTGTGTGTGTGTCGCCTAGCTCGCTCGAGACGTATACCGAGAATAAGAGATACGTTGAATAAATGTATCTGTATCTATACGTAGGCGCGATAACTGAACGTAATAACGCGGATCGTTCAGGCGAACACCAAAGATAACTCCCGTCATATTTTCGAGAGTGTCAGATCGCGAGGTACGGAGAGATGAAAAAGCCAAAGGGTGTGTGTGTGTGTGTGTGTGTGTGTGTGTGTGTGTGTGTGTGAGAGAGAGAGAGAGCACAGGTAAGTTGTTCGTCTCTTCTTTTCGACCTACGACAGCTCCGTATTGCGCGGCAAAAAGGAGACATTCGAGAGTACCACTCAACCCTCAGGGGTGGTTACGGCTTGCCTCAGCTTGCGTATACGGCAGGCATACATATTTTATGAACAAATGTAGCCCTCGGCTGAGTGACAGGGAGGGAGAAAGGGCAAAGAGGAGAAAAGAGGAGAGGAGAGGAGAGGAGAGGAGAGGCATGTCGCGCGTCAGGAAATTCCGGCGCGCGCGGGCGTGCGGGCCGTGAGAAAACGAGGCCGTTGAAAGCTGAATTCTCAATATTGTATACTGGATGCTGCTTGTGCTTGCGCGTGTGAACGGCAAATGCCGTGACCTTCTGACCTGGAAATCCATCCTGACGCGAGCCTGCCGAATCCGTTAGCTGGAAGGGGATCGATCGTCACTTAAATTACAGCTGCGGATGCCTCGGTCGCGCCGCGAGATGACATTAGCTCGCCGGGGTTTATTATCGCGCGATTGCTATCTAGTTCGCGCCCTGTGATAATACGGGCCGGAGTGGGTCCCTCCGCG